ATCATGGCTTTGCTGTTCTTGAGAAGAAGATTTTTAAAGATTTTTCCTTTATATTCCTGTGTAAAACTTTGATCGCCCATTGTGGCCCCACCCGACCCCCAGGGGTCATGATTTGAACAAACTTGAATCTACACTACCTGAGGATGCTTCCACATAAGTTTCATATTTTCAAGCACAGTGGTTCTTGAGGAGAAGATTTTTTAATGATGCCATTAATTTTTCACGAATTCCTAATTATCTCCTCTTGGAAGAAGGTGTGGCCCTTCATTTGAACAAACTTGAATTCCCTTTACCTAAGGATACCTTGTGGAAAGTTTGGTTGAAATTGGCCCAGTGGTTCTTGAGAAGAAGATGAAAATGTGAAAAGTATACAACAACAACGACGACAGACAGCGGACAAATTTTGATCAGAAAAGCTCACTTGAGCCTTTGGCTCAGGTGAGCTAAAAAGCAGGAAAAATGGTATTATTAGGATCAACAGCATAATTAGTCTAGTATCTATCTTTGAGTTATATCCAAGACGCGATGTAGATTCGATATCGAGGCAAACTTTGAGATGGACATCGATACGTTGGTATGTTCTGAAGTAGGTGCTGAAATACGGAGGCTCCTGCTAAGAATATACGAACATTTTACAAAGAAATGGTCTGGTAATCATCACTGTGACATCTGCAAGTTAAAAGGTGTGTAAATTAAGTAAATATTTTAGCTTTGTATACTAGTTAAAATAAATTTTACAGAAGGTGTTTTCATAGCAAAAGTCATTAAATATTACGTATCCCTGGTTTGCGTTTATATTTTGCAATAAATCAAATAACTGATTAATGCCAGATACAAATTAGATTAATCTATATCATCTTACATGTATATGTATATCTTTAATTAGATAAATTTTATTCATTTCATTAAAATATCATGCAATATATATGCCAAAAATGAGCTAATCATTTTCGTTGTTAGTGCCTTATAATTATTTTCTATCATTTAAATAAATGTAAATAAAAAGATACAAGATTGTATCCAGGATACGGTCTCTTTAACTTAATGAACATTAAGTAAGTTTATCTTTCGAATACAAATGGTTCGCCTTTAGATGTTTCGTGAGCAAAAATATTGTATAAATTTTAAAATCGTATTTTTGTTTTTCAGATTGTAGCCAAGCAATAATCATAGATGGTTATATGAAAGGTACCAGACTAGTTTGCGACTTTATTGAAGGTGACATTTGTTGTGAGGAAATTGGCAGCAGACGCCTTTCAAAGGTTCATACTTCTGTGAAAATCATCAGCATTCTCTAATGAAGGTTAATGAGGTAAAGTTTATTCATTAACGAATTTTGTTATTGTTGTTTATTAATATTGTAGTTTTAGTATATCAATCATGAAATAGATCAAATATTTTTTTTTCTTTCTCCTACACTGTCTCTGTTCTCTCTTTGTCAATCCTTGTTAACCGATCATTTTATTTTCTTTCAAAATATATTTGTTCGAAAAACTTGGATACAATTGAACTTAAAAAAACATATATATGTTATTATCGGTAATAAACGAGTACAAAATAACCTAGGACATAAAGTTTTCTTGACATTTAGATTGAAACGCAACCTGAAATAGATGAGAATCAACTGCAGTGTAAAACAGAGAAAAGGAAACAGGCAGCTAACAAGCACCGGTCCGCTGGTATATGTTGTGCGGTGTACAACTTTGGGGAAGCTGAAGGCATAACCGAGATATTTGGTTGCGAATTACTCTCGTAAGGGTATGTATTCTTCACTTGGCTTTGGCACACTGTACAACATTTTCCAAGGTTATTTGCCTATGATGACGGCTGCCATTTGAAACGATATGTTAACAGTAGACAAAAAACAGCGGCTGGAAAGTTCATTGCAAATTTTACATTGTGGAGAAGATGCACTTTGAAAACCACGTTGACAAGTTGGTGTAAGCAAAATGTAAATTCTCACAAAGTTAAAGCATTTTGTGACTTGAACACTGAAGCATGCGAACAGACATTTAAATTTGTTTCAAAAGAGCTAAGTGGAGTAATGCCGCTTTTCTGGATTCAGGATTCATACTTGGAAGGAAGAGAAATATTTTACATAAGAACTGATAGTAAAAAGATCTTTCCTGATCTTTCCTGAGCAAGACTGCGCTCACTGTTTTTATCAAGAAAAATCTTTGATTTAATGGTGTGATGCGCGGTGCTTGTTCACGCGAGGAAATTCGGTCGTGATTGACAATTTTGTTTATTAATGTTCTTTACCTATTTTAGCGCTCTAGTTAAAGTAAATTAATACTTTTCTTGTAATAATTAAATGTACGATCCAAAATCATTGTCGGCTGCTGCATCTAGAGTAAAACTTGGTTGAATTAACAAAAATTAATCGAATATCTATATCGTCTGATTTCTTTGAGTTTGAAACCTGCTTTCCGTGAAATACAGGATATAGGCCTATCCTTGACGATACAGAAAATTGCAAATCTTCAGCATGCCATAATTACTGCAATATTAGGTAAGTGATCAAATGGTTAAAAATTGAGATGTACTATATAAACAGAAAAATTATTATGGCACGTCTACACTTTGTTACATATAGTTTGCATAGGTAAAAGAGCATCTTTCTTTTATATCGTTTTTTTTTCTCAGAATAGATAAGACCATTTAATACCTCTGCGTGTGTGGGTGTGTGTATGTATGTGTGTGCTGTGTATGTTCATATGTCCTGCAGTACATATTTACATGGTAACAGAGATCAGTCAAAAATGAATGTCTGCTACTTGTCTGCTAGGGTTTTTAGAAAACAAAATTAAGCTACTGTGCAATAGAATAGTTAGGAATGTCAAATCGAAATAACTGAAGAATTAATGGTTACAATGAGTCCAAGAATTAATGTACAAACTCCAGATATAATCTATTTATATATCGCTGGATTTGTTTACAGTTTCCTAGCAATACTCAGGGGAAATAACCCGCATTGAGGTCCCACACGGGATATTTCTTTGATTTATGAATCAAGAATATATTGTTATAGGTTGTTTATGTTTCATATTATTTATATTTGATAGAATAAATAATAAAAGATAGATAGATAGAAAGATAGACAGAATTGATAAGTTGAAAATTGTAAAGAAATATATGTTTATATTAGTTATAAAATATTTTAAAAAATAAATAAATCAATGAATAAATAAGTTTTTTTTCCAAAATTGATTTAAAAAAAGAAGAAGGATTATTTCATTAATCTCTGAAGATGAGTTGTAAACCACTGAAAATATTCACAAATTATTTTCAAGAAATTCATTTTAATTTTACTAAAAAAGAATTTCAAAAGTTATACAGTGTATAATGAAGAACCCTCCATACAGTAATAAAATAATTTGGACATTAAAAAAATTGATATAGCATAAAGGTGTAATTACAGAATTTTTTATTTTATTTTCAACATAGATTACCAACCATTTTTTAATTTAAAGAGATGAACATAAATCAATCAATGCTGCTTACTTAAATGGGGGAACTACAAGCAAGTAAACTGTTCAATTAATTTATGTTGGCCTAATAAAATGTAAAGAATGCTTGAAGTGATAACAAAGTGAGTAATTATGCAGTGTCAAAATATCAACAACAAAATTTTTTTAAAAAGTCAATCATTTGAAGATATGTTAAATTATTTGACGATATCATTAATTCCATTCATTAGACAATATACAATGTATATTCTCTGCTGTGTGCAATAATTGAATGGATGAGAAAATTGAATGAGAACATTATGTCTACTTGTAAATGTACATTTCTTCTGTATTTACTTGCACTGATGAGCTGTAAAGCTCAAACTTGACAAAGAATTATGCTGAATTGAAGATCTCACTAGTTAATTAGTTGCTCTCCTTAAAAAAATGTTGCTAACCTTAATTATTAATTAAATAGAAGAGAGCAATGATTTAATTAATGCACACAATAATTCAAATGAAGATAGCAATATTTCAATTATTGCACACACTAATTGAATTATTGCTCTCTTCAATTGAATAATATTGAAGAGAGCAATTATTCAATTATTGTGCACATCAAATCAGCAAATGATATCAACAACTGAATTGATGCAAGCAATAATTCAGATCTCACAATATCATTAACTATTGGAAGAGATCTTATTAATAATAATTAAATTGTTGATCATATCAAATGAATTGATGTTATCTTTAAATAATTGAATATATCTGCAATTATTTGAGTTTATGTGAATCTGATGCTGTAAAACCAGTATAGTGTAGATAAACTCAAGTTATTGTATCACACTTTCACTTATAGTGGGGTATATTAATTTGGGTGTGTCCATCTGTCTGTCTGTCATTCTGTCAGTACAAAACACTTCAGTGTCTAGATGATATCTCAGAAAGTAATTCAGCTTTTGCAATGACATTTTACCTCATAACTACTTACGAAAAGACCCCTATTGATTATTAAATCAAAAAGTCAAAGGTCAAGGTCAGACTTTCATATATTAAATTAAAAAAAAAACATTTTTTTCCTGAAGCAGGGCACATAAATTCCCTGAATTGGCTTGTTCTATTTCAGATCTAAGGGCAGATCATTATTACTTCATAAAACACCAATAATTAGAACTCTTTAGTGTGTTGTGTATAGAAGACCCATAAAGTAATTCAATTAAGAAATTAAAGATGCATGAAAATTGATTGAGCACAAAATAAAAGTGATGTGCTGTTTGAAATCTTTAATTAATATGTTTTTTGTACTGACAAAGAGTTTTGTCATACACAGTATACAAAGCAAAGCATTTATTTCTGTTAACAGTGTCAAGATCCATGTCTTTTCTTATTATGGTGGAAATACCCTTTCATTGATCTAATATTTCATATACATGCACTGTACATTACAAACACAGAAAATAACTTTGAAAATTACTAATAAAAATTGTTCAGCATTATTTTTTTTTAATTTTGATTTTAGAAGCAATCTGTCTGATCATGCCTAAAGCATACAACAGTTGCTGGTGTCATCATAGAACTTGTGGTGGATCTGAGTCAAGGAGGCAAATTAGAACGCAACCACTGATAAAGGAAACAGAGCCGCGATTAGGGAGAGCAGTAACTGAGGAGGATGTAATTTGTCAAAAATGTTACAGATCTTTTTCTCGCAAACAAACAGTTGTTGGTGCCTCAAGTACATGTACTCTAACATGCAGTGATCCAGAATCTTCCCCATCTCTGCCCACTTGTAACTCAGATTCAAATCCCTTATTAAAAAGTCCAAAATCAATATGCCTTCCCATAACATCAACACCAAAAGGTCACAGAAAATGTGTCATTTGCAGAAAGCCATACTCAGACAGAAATCGCCTTATAAATATCCCAAAGTCCTCCATTGCACAAGCTTTTGTTGAAACAGGAATCTTCATCAATGATGACAGCAGATGCTGCAAGATGCATGTTGAAGATGGCCACCTAAAAAAAGATGCACTCTCACTACTAACAACAACAAAAGGTGAAGAACAACTATCAAGAACTGACATATGCAAGCTTTTATCTAGCCTTAGAACTACCATCAAATCAGCAACTTACCTCAACTTTGATGTTCCATCTCTTTTGAGTGAAGAAGACTATTTGAGTCTCACTGGCTTAAAAAGAGAGCAATTTGCAGAACTTATTAATGAATTAAAGAATCTAAGAAACAATTCCAGCCGTACCAAGAGAACATGTCTTGCTGTATTCCTGACAAAACTCCGAACTGGCCTTCCCAACACAATACTCTCCACAATCTTCAAGCTTTCTGTATCTCAGATTCAAAGAATAATTCCATCAGTAAGAGAGGCTCTCATGCAGAATTTTGTGCCAAAACATTTTGGATTCCAACATATAAGTCATCAGGAATTCTCTTTGCACCATACTACTCCAATTGCCAGAAAGCTTTTCAACAGTGAGGACAACCCAGATCAAGCTGTGCTAATCTTGGATGGCACATATATTTACATCCAAAAGAGTCATGATTATGAATTCCAACGACTTTCATACAGCCTTCATAAAAATCGTCCATTGGTGAAACCTATGATGGTTGTGGCCTCTGATGGGTACATCCTAAGTGTTCTGGGACCATATGTAGCAGATTGTCACAACAATGATGCCAGCATAACAAAGCATATGTTCTCACAAAATGCTGAAAACATTCAAGGTATGTCTACTGTTGCAGATTTGAAACACAAATATGTCTTTTTAATAAATCAAAGTAGTGAAAGTAAAAATATAATAGAAGTAAGAACATTGATATTATTTTTGTTCCAGTATGGTTAAAAGAAGATGATGTGGTCGTAGTTGACAGAGGGTTTAGAGATGCAGTAACTTTTATGGAAGATAACGGATTAAAAGTCCACATGCCATTCTATCTGAAAAGGGGAGAAAAGCAACATACAACTATGGAAGCCAACCTATCCAGAATGGTCATAAAAGTAAGATGGGTGGTAGAGAGTGCTAATGGCAGGCTAAAACAGTGGAGACTACTGGACAAATTTATTCCTAACAAGATGCTTCCACAGGTAGGAGATTTTGTTAGAATTGTCTGTGCACTATGTAACTGTTTTAGGCCTTGTCTTGGAAACTGAAGAAGTGGCCATCAGAATGCTGGAACGATCACAGAAATCCAATGAAGTCCAGGTTCTTGTTCAAGAAAACAACCTGTTAACTCGCCGTGCTGTGTACACAGCTATTGATGCCTCTTCTGAGCTTGATGATTTCCCTGTCCTTTCACTTGATGACTTGCGCTCTCTTACAGTAGGAATTTATCAAATAAAACATGCAGAGAATTACACACGAGAACATTTAAAAGATGAAGGCAGCTATGAAGTAATGGTATGCCATGATTTTCCAAATCTTTTGAGGGTTAAAATTCAGTCTAGGCATTCTAGAAATGTACTTCACACACTTTGGATAAAATATAGAGGTAAGGAGGAGAGTGTAGAGGCCATTTGTGGTTGGTACTGTACTTGCAAAATTGGAGCAAGACTGGTTGGTTGCTGTGCCCATGTGTCCAGTGTACTGTGGTTCCTTGGATGGAAAAGGCATAAGGGTGAAGAACTAATGTCATCTGGACCAGGACCTAAATGCCACTTTCTGAATGCAGCGTATCAAGAAGATTCAGACAGTGACACTGTGAAGGAGTGAATTCCAGGATTTATGAATTACATAGGTCTTTCATACAAAATTCATCTTAAATGATAAATGTATTACATATAGAACATTAATGTTTACTTCAGTATAGATTTGACTGGATAATTTGTTGTTTTGGTGGTTTTTGTACATTAAATGAACTTGGATTTACTGGTATGCTAAAGGTGGAAACATGGGGTTACAATGATAAACTGAAGGGGAAACATATGCTAAGAAACAGCTATGCTGAAATAAAATCAAGGTATAAATTACGAAATACACAATAATACATAATAATAATATTTTCATGTAAAATGTGTTGATGATTTTTAATGGTGGGAGACATGCCAGTCTCTAACTGTGAAATTATCTCACATTGATAGTTAACTTGAACCTTAAACCCTTTCATGCTATTTTACATTTTACATGATATATGCATTGAAAAGTATGAATTATCTTTCAAATTGTATGAAATGCAAAGATTTTCAGACTTTGTGTAATTGATATGATTAGACATATATTTGTTGTGTAACACAGAAGTATAAAGATGTTTGAAAAAGATTGTTTCAATATGCATTACAATGGAGATAATATTTCATTGATACAGAAGAACCATGCAGTTTTTCTGTTTAAAATTACTGATAACAACTATATTTTGTTTTTGATTTTTATTTTTAATTAAATGTAAATAAACTACTCCCAATTATCAGATCAGCCTTAAACTTCATGTTTCAGCAAAGATCTTTGTTCCATATTACCACAGATATGTACGATAAGATTTCAAAATGGTTAAAAATTAGCTTTTTTCCAAATTTGAGACTTGTTGCCATGGTAACCATTCATCCATAACATCCTAAAATTCCTGAAAATATTTTTTGAAGGAAGCTTTTATGATATACAAAGTTTGGATTGAATCTTTGTTCATGTGTGCCATGCACTTTATGTAAAAGTGCAATATTTTTTTTATATATAAAAAATGGCTCTTAAAAATGTTTTTACTGTCATAAATAGAAAATGGTTGCCATGGAATTATGATTAATCGTTGCTAGGGAATAATTTGTTTTACATTGCTAGTTAAGTAAGAAGCTTATAAATATACTTCAGTTAACTTTAATGCTAATGAATATATTGGTTAATTCTTCACTACATGCTCATATTGGTTGCTATAGTATATAAATTGGTTGCTAAGATATGCTTGAGTCGTTGCTATGGTATTTTCCCATTAAATTAGATTTGTTCATACAATGCTAAGGAACTTTCAAACATACATATGATCATTAAAGGTAAAATGAAAATATTGTTGTTGGTTATTAATTCCAAAAACTGTTAAATAATAAATCCAAGAGCTTTCAACAACGTTATTACATGGGTGGTTGCTAGGCAACGGGGACATCAGAACAATAAAATAAAGATATAATTGTAAACTTAGACCCAAGTCCATCTTTTATTATAAATATTGTTGAAATCTGAAAGGGAGCAAAAAATGGTCCATACTGCACTTAGCTCTTTAAGCATGCAACGAAACATATGACGTATGCAAGCTACAATTTGTTTTATTTGATTAAGTGTAACATGTACAATGAAGACAAAATTCTAAAGAGTGCAAAGCGGATTAAACTTCAAAGCAATTAGAAGACTTTATAAGGAAATTATTATGAATAAGATGGAAATGTGTAAAAAAAAAAAAAAGTTATAAAAGATACGTTAAATGTTTTTGCACATTATTTGAGGAACAGATGATCTGTGTCAATCAATATATGACGGATATTTTTAATAACCAATGAATTTTAGAAAATGTCACACAGTTGTAATATTTAATAATGATTCCATTATTCATCAATTTCTTTTTATCGATATCGACGTCATAATTACGATATCGTCACAACGTTTACGTCAAAGGCTTATGTTATGATTAAGGTCGATATCAACATTTAATTGTCGATATCGACATCGCGTACATATCAACTAAGGTATATTGATCATATCGACGACGATATCGACACCACATTGTCGATATCGACATCAGAGTAGGTCTTTGACCCCATATTATTACTTCTTACATTTGCCTCTCTTGGTCTTTGAAGAACACTTAAAAAGATATGTTATTTTTATTTAATCTCATTTTCTTCATCTATTATTTCCAAGTCTACCCGAACATTAAAACTATGAAAGTACTTTTTGTATTATACAATTAATATTCTTGCATAATTCTCTTATTCTATTAACCTTTCAAATACATTATTTACAGTGATTAATTATCAAAGGTAAATGACAAAGGGGAATAACTTTGCTCAGCAGAGTGCAAATTAATAGAGCCCTGATCAGGACCAGAACACTTGAATAAATGGTACAGGTGTTAAAAATTATGTAAAATATACCTTGCACATATAAAACTTTTACTCTGTTTGCCTCCAATATGCCCAGAAGCATAGAAGATTTTCACAGAAATGCACTATTTTCACTATAAATATTTTCACTAAATTTTCACTATATTATGAAATAAATAAAGCCCCACCTTTACACCAGACCATCTGACTCGGGGGCTATGAACTCAAAATTCTGGAAAAAGCACCCTTCCTAATCATAACTATTCACTACTTTGCTCTATAACCAGGAAAAGAAAAAAAACTAGAGCAACGAGTAGGTCTTCCGTTAGATTTCTGATAAGATCTTGATTGGGAAATTTTGATTGATAAAAGAAGTAAAAAATCTTTAAATGAAAAAAATATTCATGTCAATTCTTCAAAATATGTTTAGCAACACATTAAAGACTGAAATCTATCAATTTCAAACAACTTCCGGTGTTTTTTTCACTTCCGGTATGACCGGAAGTACTCAAAATGACTTTTAACTTCTCACTGAGTGTGGAGGAATCATCCCTCAAAGTTTCGAGGAAAAATGAGCATTTTTTTGCTACTTCTGGTTTGGAAGAAATCACTTCCGGTGGAAATAATATGACTCGAAACAGTCTATTTGCCTCTATTATAAACATTTCAAAAAGAAAACAAGAGGCCCAAGGGCCTTAACGGTCACCTGAGTATAATACAACAATTTAGAGAATCCATAGAGTATAAAATGAACTCAAAGGTGAACCTTTGTTGCCCAAAAGCAAGAAAAATAGGGTGATCAATATCAACAAAATAATGAGTCTAGTATTCATTAACAGTTCATAAATTAGGACCTCACTCTCACCATACAATATATTAACAAACTATCAGTGCTTCTGTACTATTTTAATTCCTTGTTGAAATTTCTTACATTGGACTCTCTTGGTCTTTGATGAACATTTAGTAAGACAAGTTATTTTTGTCTCATCTTTATTTATCTATTACTTACAAGTCTGCCTGATCATTAAAACTAAGAAAGTACTTTTTGTATTATACAATAAAAATTCTTGCATAATTCTCCTATTCTATTAACCTTTCAAGTACATTATTTACAGTGTTTAATTATCAAAAGTAAATGGCAAAGGGGAATAACTCCTCTCAGTGGAATACAAATTAATACAGCCCTGGCCTGGACCAGAACACTTGACCAAATGGTCCAGATGTTCAAAAATCTGGTAAAAATACCCTTCCTTATTAAAACTTTTACTCTTTTTGCCTCTGTTATGCCCAGGTGCAGAGAAGATTTTTAAAGAAATAATGCATTTTTACTACAGATTCACTATAATAATAATCGCTATACATGTGTATTATCAATAGAGCCACCCCCCTCCCCACTGAGAAACACCAGAGCCCCTCACCCTGGGACCAGAAGTTTGCTCACCATAAGTAATCATTTTGTTTATCTGCTTAACACTAAGGAGCAGACAGGATTATTTAATAAAATTAATGCATTTTCACTATATTATCAAGAGCCCAACCCTTACACCAGTACGTCTGACCCAGGGGTCCTGAAATTCACTACTCTCGAAGAAGCACTCTTGCTCATTATAATTATACACTTAGCTTCTTTGCTTTTTAACCAGAATATTTTTCAAAGAAATTTTCACTGTATAATCAATAGAGCCCCCCCCCCCCCCTTTTCACCAGAACTCTTGACCCTGGGGCCATGAAATTCACAATTTTGGAAAAAGCATCCTTGCTTATCAGAACAATGTACTTTATGTGTTTAAATAATACCCAGTGGCAGAGAAGATATTCAATGAAATAATGCACTTTCACTATAGGATCTATATAGCCCTACCCTAGCACCAGATCCCCCGTCCCTGGGGCCATGAATTTCACAATTTTGGAAGAGGAATCCTTGCTTATCATAACTATGTATTCAATATGTTTCAATAATACCCAGGAGTAGAGAAGATTTTCAAAGAAATAATGCACTTTCACTATATGATCTATATAGCCCCGCCCTAGCACCAGAACCCCTGACCCTGGGGCAATGAATTTCACAATTTTGGTAGAGTCACTCTTGCTAATCATAACTATGTATTTAATTTGTTTAAATAATACCCAGGACTAAAGAAGAAGATATTCAAAGATATTTTGCTTTTTCACTATATAATCAAGAGTCCCCCCCCCCTTTTCAGCAGAACCCTTGACCCTGGGGCCATAAAATTCACAATTTTGGTAGAGTCACCCTTCCTTTTCATAACTATGTATTCAGTATGTTTCAATAACACACAGGAGTAGAGAAGAAGATTTTCAAAGAAATAATGCACTTTCACTATATGATCTATATAGCCCCGCCCTAGCACCAGAACCCCTGACCCTGGGGCAATGAATTTCACAATTTTGGTAGAGTCACTCTTGCTAATCATAACTATGTATTTAATTTGTTTAAATAATACCCAGGACTAAAGAAGAAGATATTCAAAGATATTTTGCTTTTTCACTATATAATCAAGAGTCCCCCCCCCTTTTCAGCAGAACCCTTGACCCTGGGGCCATAAAATTCACAATTTTGGTAGAGTCACCCTTCCTTTTCATAACTATGTATTCAGTATGTTTCAATAACACACAGGAGTAGAGAAGAAGATTTTCAAAGAAATAATGCACTTTCACTATAGGATCTATATAGCCCTACCCTAGCACCAGAACCACTGACCCTGGGGCCATGAATTTCATAATTTTGGTAAAGTCGCCCTTGCCTATCATAACTATGTATTCAATTTGTTTTCATAATATCCAGGAGTAGAGAAGAAGATTTTCAAAGAAATAATGCACTTTCACTATATGATCTATATAGCCTCGCCCTAGCACCAGAACCCCTGACCCTGGGGCCATGAATTTCACAATTTTGCTAGAGTCACCCTTGCTTATCATAACTATGTATTCAATTTGTTTCAATAATACCCAGGAGTAGAGAAAAATATTTTCAAAGAAATAATGCACTTTCACTATAGGATCTATATAGCCCTACCCTAGCACCAAAACCCCTGACCCTGGGGCCATGAATTTCACAATTTTGGTAGAGGGCTCAATGCTTATTACAATCATGCCAACAGTTTGACTGCTTGATGCCCAGGAGTAAAGAAGAAGATTTTTAAAGATTGCATTAATTTTGGTGGTTTTAGCCCCACCCCTCAGGCTCCAGGGGGGCAGGGACCAAGAAATTCACAAATTTTGTTCCCCTTCACACATAGATGCCATATGCTAAAATTGGCTGAAATTAGTTCAGCGGTTTCAGAGAAGAAGCTGAAAATGTTCAAATGTTAACACACGACGCACGACGGACGACAACGGACGAAAACAGATAGCAATAGGTCACCTGAGTGACTCAGGTGACCTAAAAATAAAAATTTGCATATTTTTAAACTACTTCTGGTGGACAACGGACGTTACGGCAACAAAAAAGAAACAGGTTTCTCAATTCTACGTGTCACAATCTATCATCCCTGAAAATTTCAAGACTCAATCTCAAGCCGTTTTTGAGAACACTCGCGGACAAAATGCCACTTTAAAAATGGAAAATTGGCCGTATCTCGCGACCGGAAGTGACGACGGCAAAGTAAAAAAAACGCATAAAGTTCAGATGACTTGCCATCATTGCTGAAAGTTTTATGAAAATCTATCCAGGCGTTCTCGAGAAATCGTCTGCACAAAATCGGTAAGAAAAAAAAAATAATAGTGGAAAAGAACTAACAGAATCAGTAGAAGGTCTTCCGTTGGAAACAGAAGACCTTAATAATAGTGGAAAAGAAACAACAGAATCAGTAGAAGGTCTTCCGTTGGAAACAGAAGACCTTAATTAAAAGAAATTATGCATTTTCACTAAATAATCAATAGAGCCCCTCCCCTTTCACCAGAACCCCTGACTCAGGGGCCATGAATTTCACAATTTTGGAAGAGGTATTCTTCCTTATAATAACCATGCACTGCCTTTGTTTGAATAATACATAGGAGCAGAGAGGAATTTATTCTTTGAATGAATTTATGCATATTCTCTATAAAATCAATAGAGCCCCGCTCTAACACCAGAACCCCTGACCCGGGGGATATGAAATTCATAATTTATACTTAATTGCCCGGTTTACATCACCTGTGTATGGAGGTCTATTCGAGTTATAACAAAATCAACTTTGCTATTCTCCTATTGTTTTATTACTTGTTTTTATGCATTATTTCGGTTGCGTGTGTATAATTTACACGTTTAAAATATTACTTGGCATTTTTATACAAAACATGAGATAAAAGGAGGCGTTAGGGTGTGTGTGTATAAGGGGGGGGGGGGGTGCAATTTCAAATCTAATACTATACCTGGAAGTTCGTTTCTATTCCCACAAATCTTAATGTATCACAATATATAATGAGATGTTAAAATTTTTAATTCATAAGATATTTCATGTTAGCCTTAAAGTTTTTTGGGAGATTATTGGATATACATAGACGTTATCTTCGTATTAGTATGTTTGTCCGTCTGTCTGCCTTTATATGTATACAAAGCAAGCTTGCTAATTTGATGTATGCAAGGATGATACATGTACACCTATGCATTCAAGATGCATATTATAATATATTTGAAGGTTGTACACAATGGTTGTAGCCTTTACACAAGTTTCTTTGTTTCAGATCTGCATGAAAATATGCCTGGTATTTGCAGTTGAAAATACATAACGACAACAATGCCGTTGTTTACAAAATTTAAAGAAAAAAATTCAAGAGATGTATAATAAACAAACTAGTCGAGGAAAAACTCTAGCACGAAAAATCAACATATCTATGCTTATCTTGTGCAAATTATTGTTCAGAAAATTTGATGGACAACAAAATTGATACAACAGTTGACGAAATAATTCATTTAATAATTCAACGGAAACTGATGTTCATGTTGCAAAAATTGTATGTGCATTAGTGGAAAATGAGAGACACAATATACTGGATGACTGTCGCCAATTAGATAGCAAATATAAAAAAGAGTACCCATCAGAGATAAACGCAGAAAGGTGGTTGAAGGATAGAAACAATTTTATTCTGTTGTTTTTGTCTGCAATCGTCAAGGTTTGACACTAACGGTAGACCGGCGGCCCGAGTCCACCAAAATTTGGGAAGGTCCACCAATGTTCATGACCAGGTGGACCGTCGGTCCACTTAAAATTTTGAACTTTAATTAATAATTAAAAATCAATAATGACAATTCTTCCTTGTTTGTTTTTGTTTTCTATTTTACGTATTTAACATTGTAATTGACAACCGGAAATTAATATATTACATCTAAGTAACTCATACTTGTATTAAGGGAAATAATTTTCGTTCGACTTGTTGAAAAACGTGTTTCCGGATGTTGAACTTTAAATTAAGAAAATGCTACGAAAATGGTGTGGCGTGCAGTCTCCGCCAAGTAAAAAAAGTAAAATAAGCGAAGAAAAGAAGGAGGTTCATCAAAAATATGAGTCTGAAAAGAGATTTCGAACATTCAAAACATCGTGGAGATCCACGTTTCCGTGGCTAGTGTATGAGCCAGATAGAGATGTCTTGACATGCAGTGTGTGCACAAACGGCATGAAATATCAAGCAGGGACATCTGGAAGTTTTGTGACAGGTACTAAGAATTAAGTACTTTAAAATTGATGTTATAAAAATAAACACTAATTGTCAGAGTTACATAGTAGGAACCTTGCAAGGGAACAGGCCGCAAAGGAATCCTTTGCAAAGTCCGCTGCCTCTAAAACCCTTGTAATGTTGAACAAGGCAGCTGTGGATAAACTCACCCTTCTATTTAGAAATGCGAATTGTATTGCAAAATCAGGTAGACCATACACAGACTATGTGACACTCTGTTTGTTAGATCAGGCAAAAGGTTTGCAGATTGGCAGTACATATTTAACAGATAAATATTGTCAGCAGTTTGTTTCATATATAGCTGATGTTCGTAGAGAACTGCAGAAAAAACAAGTTGAACGTGCTTCATTTCTTTCCATTATATCAGATGGATCCACCGATACCTCATCTAAGGAGAGAGATTGTCTATGTCAAAGCATCTGTGAACTGTGAGGTACGTCATATAATTATATATGCTTAAATTATGTGAAAGTTTAAGTTGATAAATAGATAAAAGTGTATTTTTCACAGGTTTTCACATACTTTGCTGGGTTAAAGCATGTAACTAAAGCAGATGCTGAAGGAATTTCCAGAGCTATCTCAGGTCTCATGGATGAAAGATTTGGATCCCTCTGGCGTTCCAAGGTTGTTGCCATGGGTACTGATGGAGCCTCAGTTATGGTGGGTAAAAAAGGAGGTGTGGTTAGAATGATCAGTGACATGACAGAATGTCCGTTTGTTAAAGGGATACACGGCTCAGCACACAGGTGATTTCTACAAATCTTAATGTTTTTGCTCATTTTACAATTTACACTGATATAATGATATGTATGTAAATTATTTAGTTATTAGATCCAGTTTCAAATGCTTTGCTGTCTTTTTTTAGGTTTGAATTGGCATACAAAGATGGTACCAAAGATATTCCAATACATAAGAAGTGTGAACTACTTCTTCTAAACTTATATCTTTTCTACAAGTAAGAGGAGTTTTTCATTTAATTTTAGAAAGTAGTCTAAATTAAACATTTATTTTATGAGGGTGATGAAATTAAAAAAAAAAACTTATGCACTTATGCTTTTTTTTTTTGCATTTAGATATAGTTCACTGAATAGAGCAAACCTTAAAATAGCATTTGATTCTATTGGGAAAAAAATGTTGGTCCCAACCAATGTAGGTGGAACAAGGTGGTTACCCCATACTGAGAGGGCTTTGAAGCATATGATCACTGGATATGATGGCAGTGTGCTTCACCTCGAACAGGTACACTGTATCTTTCAAGTTTGTTGTTTTGACATTACATACAGTGTAGTAGTTAAAGGACATGTGTATTTATATTAATTTGAATATTAAGAGAATTTTTTATTTTGTTTTTCACAATCATATATACCCTATCTAAACTAGATGCAACAGAATCCATCCAAGGAATCCAGTGCCAAAATACGAAACTTCTTGAAACTTCTGAAGGATAAAAGTGTCATTTTATGGCTACACTTTATGATGGATGTGGTCAAAAGTCTCAGTACCGTCTCTCTGAAGATTCAGGATCAACAGAGTACCATTGCCGATATCTACAGTGAATTAGACAGCGCAAAAGCAATTTTGAACAAGTTCAAGAGAAGGTATAAAATCATAGATTTAATGTGTATTGCACGTACTTGAAAACATTTAATCACTTAACCTGTTATCCACCTTACTTATCTCTGATTTGCTTTTTGTAGTGCTTGTAACAGTAATTTATTTATTTGAAATATTGCATGTATCTCAGCTATTATTCCCTGCTATTGTAGAATAGTTGCTATAATCTGCACCATTCTATAGCTAACCTGCTTTCTTCCTCAAATTAAATTAAACACACAGAGTAATGGTCCATTCTTGAGGGTGGTGGCTGAAGACAGTTTGCATGTCATTGAAGACAGAAAAAACAAATTGCTTGACTCCTTGATAAATAGTATCGATAATAGATTTGCTGGTGATTTCTCCATGTTTAGTGCATCGTCTATCCTACTAATTCAGTAATGGCCGTCAGGTATGAGTAATGATCCAGGTAAAACATTCTCATGATACAATTTTGGAAGTTACCTAAGAATATACAAATTGATGTACATTTATTTATCATTTGGGTTAAATTTAAAATAACCATATAATTTGTTTTCATATATTTATTGAAATAAAGACTTTGGGGATGAAAATTTGCAACAACTTGTTACATCTGCTAGACCAGCCCTAGAGGCATGTTGTCCCTCTATTGACATCGAGGGGATAGAACTTGAATGGACACGGCTTAAAACATCTCTGATAAAATACAGGTTTGTCTTATGTTCAATAGTAAGTACATTTTTCTTTGGCAAAGGTATTCATTTCAAAATATTTATTTTGAGATTTAAATTTTATTTGATGAAATTATGTTCAGGTCAATCTCACATCTAACCTGGAAACGACTTTATGAGGATTTTGGAAGTGACTATCCAAACTTTTTTCATCTCATTGATTATTTGCTGACACTACCAGGATCATCAGTTGATGCAGAGAGAGGCTTCTCCTGGTAAATTCCAATTTAATTTGTACAATGAATTTAAAAGTTTCTTCTTGAAGTTTGTTTTTTATTTAAAAATAAATAATTCATCATCTTACAGTATGAAACTTGTGAAAAACGACTGGAGATCCAGAATGGGTGAAGCAAATATGAGTGATTTAATGCAGTCTCCCTGGAAGTAGAAACCATTGATCAGTTTGATCCCCTGCCTGCAATTCATTTGTGGTATGCAGGGGGAGAGAGGGCAAGGAGACCTTTTTACAAAGATGAACTAAAGGTTATTTAATAAGTTGCTAATTTTGTTGGTTTTGGAATTGTATTTCAGCTTTGGCTTGTAAATATTGGCTATATGCATTCATGTTAATCATTCTCAGAAAAGCCGTATTCCAAGAGAAAAGGTGACGGTGAGTAGGGATGGGGATGTTGAAGCAGTGCAGGAGGCAGTGGAGGAGGAAGTGCAAGAGGAAGACGAGGCTGATGAGATTCAGATTGCATCTTCAGAGTGCTATGATAATGACGATGATGATGATGATATTGAATCTGCTTTAAGTAGAAAAGACTTGATAGAACTCCAAAAAAATCTTATGCTATGCAAATGGAAATGATGATGTAGTGAAATGAAATAAATTTAGTAAAGTAAAAGATAATGTGTGTTCATATTAATTGCATTTAATAAGCCTGAATAGCATGGAATAAATTTATTCAACAAAAATTCAAACGTTAATGAAGGTCCACTCGATTTTGAGAAGGTCCACAAAAATTCTTGACCAGTGAACCTGCGGTCCACCAAGGTAAAAAAGTTAGTGTCAAACCCTGATTGTGGGTAAAAACATTAAGGAACTTTCAAATAAAGAGAAATCCAATTTGATTTTTTGCGTAGAGCAAATATATTCCTTATTTAGAGGAAATTTGGTTTGGCCTTTCAGTTTCAGTTAGAACTTATAATCTTACTAAACATAGTCGCAATATTGTACACTGAATCCTGTCGCTGGACTTGCTGCTAGCTACCCAACTCTTCAGTTGTGGATAGGTGACCAGTAATAGTAGATGACAGATCCGATGTAATTACTATGGAAATCCACAGGGGACCCCCAAGTCATGTTCTGTATATTCATAGTAATTCAATCTTGGGCGGTCATGTTTACAATCCCGGCCAAGTCATGATCGGCCACACGGGACTCCCAAGTCATGTTCTATATATTCATAGTAATTCAATCTTGGGCGGTCATGTTTACAATCCCGGCCAAGTCATGATCGGCCACACGGGACTCCCAAGTCATGTTCTATATATTCATAGTAATTTAATCTTGGGCGGTCATGTTCTATATATTCATAGTAATTCAATCTTGGGCGGTCATGTTCTATATATTCATAGTAATTCAATCTTGGGCGGTCATGTTTACAATCCCGGCCAAGTCATGATCGGCCACACGGGACTCCCAAGTCATGTTCTATATATTCATAGTAAATCAATCTTGGGCGGTCATGTTCTATATATTCATAGTAATTCAATCTTGGGCGGTCATGTTCTATACATTCATAGTAATTCAATCTTGGGCGGTCATGTTCTATATATTCATAGTAATTCAATCTTGGGCGGTCATGTTCTATATATTCATAGTAATTCAATCTTGGGCGGTCATGTTCTATATATTCATAGTAATTCAATCGGTCATGTTATGATTGCAACTCTGACCAAGTCAGGTTTGGTTTGATAGCATAACATGGCCTTCTTATCTTTGCCGGTCATGATTTGACAACCCTGGCTTAGTCAAGATATATCCCATGTTTTACATCTTGACTAGGCCATGATTTTCTATCCCAAGATTGCATTGGCCAAGATACATTTCTTCCAAACGCAGTCAAGATTTACTTCCCAAGATTTTATAGGACCGAGAGTCGACCAAGATAGCATTGCGCCAAGATACATTACTTCCAAGCGCAGTCAAGATTCACTTCCCAAGATTTCAAAAGACAAAGACTAATTTCCCAAGATTTCAAAAGATCAGGATTTACTTCCGAAGATTTGAAAATGTCTAGATAACGTATTACAATATAGGCTTACATAACTGCAATCAGGAATCGTTGTTCGATGTAAGTACACAATGAATAATTTTCTTTTATTTTATTTAGATTGTTTTCCTTTCTCATTAAAACTGTAGCGGGTCTCAATCTATTGACGAGTGAAACTGAAACCCTCACGAAGCAGTAAATGTCATTTCTGAACTTGATTTCTTTTAGATTTTTTAATTATTCCTACAACTTTATTAACATATAACTGATAATCATTTATTGTATTTGTTTTCATTTTTCCATAAATGGAAGCAATTATATTAACGAGGAAACTCAAGTAAATTTATCTCAATAGTAGGATAGTACGGATCCTTTAAAATTAGAACAACCTGAAGTAGGTTTTTGAAAATACATTTGTGCAATTTTGCATTTAAAGGAAGAAAAAAAAACCAAGAAATTGCAAGGTTGTTTACTATGTAGTTTTAAAATAACAACACAAGGTTGTTTACTATGTAGTTTTAAAATAACAACACAGAACACAGATAGTTGCATGAAACATTGCAGCTTTTAGGCAGTTTTAAGCAAAGCATGCATTTATATTGTTTGAGTAAATGGGAGTCCGGTCAAGTCGTACACAGACCAACTCATATACAGGTCAACTCGTATACAAAAATTTCCGTATAAACAACGTATACAAAAATTCCCGGTATGCTAAAGAGTCAACTCGTATACAAAAATTTCATATGCATATATAATCAAATACAATTTATGTCAAATTTTAAACATGATAATTAATATATATATAACGTTAACAAATATTCTTACAACAGATGATATCATTTAAGAAAAGATTAAGTTATATAATATTTTACAGCAAAAGATGACTTTCATTGTCTAAAACAGTGATAAGTATCCATTTTCTGTAAATAGGCTAACAATACGAGTTGACCTGTATACGAGTTGGTCTGTGTACGACTTGACTGTAAATCAGTAAATGGAAGGTAGCAGGGGATAGTTTTTTAATGCCAAACATGTGCCGAGGGGGTACACATATACATGCGATCCATAAAAACATGTACATGGGGACAGTTTTCCAGGGGCTAATTAATTACACTTCATATGCCCATGGCTCACAAATTATGTCAACAAATTACATGTAATCTGCGTATTAGAGTGCACATGTACCAAAAATGCACCTGGGGACTCCCCAAATTTTGGCTTGTTTTTCCAAGATTTGGGCCTCATTCACACCCATACAACCCACCCCCAGGCCCGAGCGAGCAGGATAAAACACCCAGTAGTCTGTAAATCAATGCAAGCCCTAATAAAAATTCACCAATTGATATGGGGTCATTCACCTTCCCTCTGAGATACACACCTTCTTCTAAGGCCTACTGCTTTTCAGCTGAATTTCCTCTGCAACTGACCACGTGTCTTAGTTTCGCATTTACAACTCTGTATATGATAAGCATCATAGTGACACCTACATGTTGCACATCATTTTTTTCAGCAAGCACTCTGCTACACTGCAAATGTGTCCCATAATTATTCTAATCATTTTTCTACATAAAATATCACATCAAACAGGGGATATCTCAATTTTTTAAGAAATTTGACCGGGTCTTTAGTACGAAACTATCCCCTGCCACCTATACCAGTCCACCTTGTGTGTGATAAGGCATCGATAAGTATGATTACTTCACATTGTGTTGAATTATTAACAATCAATTATCATAGTAGTATAATTAGGTAGGTAAATAAAGCTATGTAGGTAATTAAAGGCACCTAGCAATATCTAGTGATTGTACTGGATCTGGTATTATAAGCATTGATTGTCATTATATTATGACCTCTTTTTATATACAGTTCATTATATATTTTCTTTTTTAGACTTATGTTTTGCATTGAATGTGGGGTGGTTTTAGGCCCCACAAACAAGTTTTGTGGTTCATGTGGCGCCCCAGTCTGTGTCAAAAGGAAAGGTAATAACGATAGTGTAGTATTATGCTAGAGATGCATTATACTGTAGGTCAATGAAAAATAAAGTACATATTAGATAATATACTAGTCTTGTACATAACCCACTTTGTAACTTATTGTTAATTAATGTATATTGCAGTAACAACAGAACCTGACACAGCCAAACCAGGGCCATCAAAATGTAAGTTTGATATTAAATAAATACTACTGAAACTTACATATATCGGTTTTAATATGGTCAAAGGAATACTGCAGATGTACATGAGATACAAAAGTACAATGTGCTAAAATACTAATTATAAATAAATATATGCATAGCCTTGTAAATATTTTCAAATTGGTGACCTTTTATTAATTTTCAAAGTATGTGTTTGAATAGCTTACCTATAGATATTTTGATATGCTACTTTGTTTATACTTAATACAGCTTTTGATGAGTCAGCAAAAGGATGCTTCTCGCCAAATGGTAAGTACAGATGATATCCGTGTATGATTCAAAATTACAAAACTTTTTTCTTGGAAGAATAATTATTTAGAAATTGTATTTGTTTAATGACAGCACATTTTACATATATATGTTTTACTTAAAGAAAGAGAAGAATTCATTTAAATTATATATTATATTAGCAGGTAAAATCTATCATGACTATCCTTTTTCTTTAGGAAGTCCATCTTTGCATAAGAAGAGAGAAGGTACAGTAAATTATATGTTATTGGTAAATTATGAGATAGAAGTCACATTATGATGCCAGTGCTGTATGTTCATAAACAATGCAAATTTTTATTAGAGAAAATCTGGAGACATATAGAGTACATCTGAATAATTAAATGATTTCTAAAAGAACTATGTAGATGCTAAGTTTAGACTCTTGCCTTCAGTTTCCATTTTAAGCTCACCTGAACCGAAGGTTCAAGTCAGCTTTTCTGATCACCTGTTGTCCATCAGTCATTTATTCGTCAGTATGTGAACTTTCCATATTTTTTAAAATCTTCTCATGTTGTCCTCAACCTAAGTCATACTACATACGGTAAATCAAAGATGCAATAAAGGGCAATGTTCTATTTTTTCTTCTTCAGAGGTACAGTCCAAACTTGACTTTTTAAAGGCCAAGTTTTTGGATAGTAAGAAAAAAATGTCCAGCAAAAGATTAGGTGGACACACTAAATCTTCAGGGTTGGAGGTAAGAAATTAGGCATCATTGAATCCAGCTTAAATGTGTGTAGTTATTTATGAACTATTTTGTCTTTGTTTGATCAGATATTTATAATAGGCTATCAGTACTGTATGTAGGAAACAAAATATGTTTAAAAGGTGTAATGCACAACACTGGTCCTTCAGACCAATGGTATATATTTATCTTCAGGTCAATTTTGGTGTATAGTTGATCAGAGCTGAATCCCGTCAATTTTAATCTTACTCCATGGAACATTTTTGCAAGGGCTGGATAAAATATAAAATGTGCTGATTTCATGCACGAAGGCCTCCATTTTTAACTATTTAGTAATCATAGCATATTTCTTTTTTACATGTATACTGTGCATGATTGTTCTATTAAAAAGGGATATTTTACTTATTTTTAATTACCTGGTAATTGAAATGCACTAACTACTAATCTTTTAATTACATTAACAGATTTTGGAAGTCCGTTTTTTGGACAACCGTGGAAAGAGGCTGCAGAGGGTGATAAATGGCAGCTCGTCATTATTACTGGAAGTGGAATCTTCCAGTGCCGTCCCGGAGTGGATGGCTCTCTTAAGTGCAAAGTTCAAGACACAGATTCCTAGGGAAGCGATGGTATTTAAAGAGCACAAATTCATTGCACTCAAAGATACGACAAGCGTAGAAGATTTCAAGAACCTATCGAAGGGAAAGAGGAAACATTTTGGGTTTTTTGTTCAAGTGCATGCCTGTAAGTAATTGTAATTGATTTCTATAAGAAAAGAACAATGTGTTAAATACATGTGTGTGGGTGGGTGGGTGTGCGTGTGTGTTATGATATATAATTCTTCAGTGTGTGATATTACATATGATAGTGCAGGGATTTGCTTGAAAGAAATTGTGCTTTTTGAAATATATGCATGTTTTAAGTTACGGTATAATGTTGCACATTATAAAATTAATGCTGTGTAATACATTATACATTAGTTGAAATCATTGTAATGCTGTTATAAACTGAATTACAGCTCGGAAAAAAATTGTTAACAATCTTATCACAGTAAGGATAATTTTGTACTGTTGGTTACATATAAAGTTAAATTGCTTTTGTTCAGGATTTGATTTTTTTCCCTTTATATTTTTTTTATATTTTCATTACCAACCAAGTTCATATCCGGGTTAAATGGTTAACATTGCTGTTTACATGTATTTCTTAAATGAACCAGAATCAGCTACTTTTTAATACAAAGATAAGTTCTTGTAATTTTGCAGTTACTGTGAAGATAACAAGTAATTGTTACAGTTGACAGGAATCATGAAGCTACAGATTGATTTATATATATTTTACAATACTAAATTGTTAGAACATTTATAAAAAAAAAATTAGTGCCACAGAATCATGAAAACAATTTGAAAATGGCTCTTGATTAAAGAAAATATTCAAGAAAAGCTTAAATGAGTTTGATAAACCATAAAGAAAAAGTATAGAAAATAAATTAGGAAGGAATGACTGACAAACCACGATAAAGAATATAGAATTTTTCCTGCTATCCCCTTTTAACTCTGCAATTCCATGGATGTACCTTTGATCATGATGATTAGTCCCAAATGTAATTAAGAAACAGAAGATATTTAAAGCAGGTATGCAGGATAAGCAAACCTAGAAGCAAATGAAAAAAGTTCCAAATTAACAATTTCATTTCTACTGACTTTCTTTATTTGTTTGGAAGTACTATTTGCATGAATTAAGATTTTTATTTAAAGTTTGGATTGTTTGCAAATGTAGAAAATGTGGAAATGAAAAGCTGTGCAAAAGAAAAATATTTTTTTTTTAAACCAATCTTGACACAGAGTAATAAAAAAAAGGGTCAATGAAAGTGAAAACAAATACTAAAAGTACCTTGTGAAGAGGGAAATCACCTTGTTAGGACACATCTGCTGAAGTCATGTAAAAGTTTTAATGAATGATGAATATATATATGTGAAAAAAAAAATATAAGACTGTTCATACCAGCTGTTCAATTCCACATACTATGAAAGTTCTATTGATTCTTCCATGATACATTCTTTAGCAAAACTGCTAATTTTTTTAGCAGCAAAACAGAACAATTTATATGTATCTCTGAAAAATTCAATTAGAGATCGTCTATTATAGTGTGTATTGTATACCTTCTTTTGCAAAGTGTGATTGAAACTGAAAAATCAAAAGTGTGAAACAATTAAGTAACACCCTTTCAATGAGAAACTAGCAAATACACTGTAGTAACTGTTTCATCATAAATTGTATTTATGTTACAAAGGATTGAATTTCAGAGTGATTATCTGATCAATTTTATAGCACATTTGATATTAAAGATCTTTCAATTACTTAATCGTTAAATATGTTCTGTTAAACTTAATTATCATTAAACCTTGTAAAGTTTTACATACCTATAATATAATTGTTATATACTTAAGGGTTATCTTTGTATTTTAAAGGAGAAGACCACTTCAGCCAATGAATCCCCAGTAAGTACTCTTTAATTGTAAAAATAGAAAAATTGCAAAGTTTCACCAGATGAAAAACACTTGAAAGAAATTATTACAAGGGTAATGTACATTATAAAAATGGCCAATTAAGATAATGTTTGTATTTTAAAGGAGAAGACCACTTCAGCAAATGAATCTCCAGTAAGTACAAATAGGATAAATAGGAAATAACAGAATTTTATTGGATGAAAAACATTTGAAATGAAATTGTTACCCATGTTTTGTAAGTACATATAAATTGAAATGCTCATTAAGGTAATCTTTTTATTCTAAAGGAGAAGACCACCTCAGCCAAAGAATCTCTGGTATGTACAACAACTCAAGTGAATTTTTCTGGGCAAATTTTGTCTCTTATTTGTCTTCGCCATTGATGTGGTAAATTTTTCACATTTTATCTTTTCCACAACCACCAGGTCAATTTCAACAAACTTGGCAAAAAGCATTCTTTAGGGAAGGGCTTTCAAGTTTGTTTGAATGAAGGACATTATGTCCCTTTCCAAGGGGAAATAATTAGGAATGTGTATTGGGGTGTTTTAAAAAGCTGTTTTTACAAGAGCCAAAAATACTTAAATCATTTATATACCGGAAAGTTAAATAAATGAATTGTTTAAAGTTTAAGTTACCGGTAAGTTTGTTTTAAATCATGACCCCCAGGGGTCAGGAATGGGCTTTACATGGGATCAAAGTTGTTGAAAATAATCATTTACATTTCCATTATTATTTTCTGTAATACATATTTTATTTTCGTAAAAATTGGACAAGGCATTTTTATTATCTCCTTGGAAGAAGGGAGAACATATTGCTCTGCTGCTGTTCGTCTGTCTGTAGGTCGATCTACCAACAGTGACTGTTCATTTACTTTGCAGAGGTTGTACATACGGAAATTTGATATACATGTACTAATATCTAAGTCGAGTTTGATTTTGGGTACAAATGAGCAATTTTTGAAAGAGTTATGCCCCTTTGGACTTAAAAATATTCCAATTACATGTATTTGCTGTTTCCTTTCATTTTCTTTGCAGAGGTCTTTAAGGGAGGGGGCATTAGTCTTTTGCCAACATCTCACCAATATAGGATGAAATATAAAAGATGCCACATGATAATCTATATGTCTATTCATTTGGTGGTTTGAAATGGCAAATTGAATTGTTATTTTTTTCTAATGCGCAATATAACTTGTCTTAGTGGGGGAGAGGGAGTCATTAGATATGCAAACATTAACATTAAACCATATTTGCTATGACCTTTTACAGAATTTACAGTTAAAGTTCAAGGTTATAGCATATCTCTTTGTGATGACATTGTCCTTAGCATGTTTCTTTCCCCTCTGGTTAATGCCAATCTGGTTCACATTAATTCACCTGAAAGAATGGATCATTACTCCGAATCATTATCATGTCACACTCAAAGGTTGCCTTTAATGAATGTTTGATGCCATATCTCAATATATGGCTTCATATAATAGGAAACAACAAGATTATAAAACCAAGAGCTATCATTGTATCCAAGAAATACTTGAGCAATATGTTAATATTATTTAAATCTGATTATTGTCAGCCACCAAGTCAGTTTATTGATGATCTAGATGCCAGTTCAAAAATGTACAATTTTCTTGATTTATTTAAATGTTATTAATTTATCATATCTAGAAAAGCTAGGTTGATTATGCTTTTGATTTTTAACAGAAGCAGAAACGTCACGATATCATACTGTCTGATTCTTCAGAGGACGAGTTGGAAGAGCCTGTGAGTTTGACTTGTAATATTTTGTGCAAGGACATGTTTTATAGATAGAATGTTTCATCTATATGCAAGTATATTTTTATTCCATTCATGCCTTTATTAATCAATCATTGACTTCTTGATTGGTTTAATAAAATTGTAATTTTTTTTAAGAACCACATTTTTCAGCTGCAGGTTTGTAGCTCCCGGTCTGGAAAAATTTTGGATGCATGACTTTGGGGCTTTAGTGCCTCAATTGAAAAATTGTGTATTTATTGTGCACAAAATGTGCCTAGTTTTGGACTGATTTATATGAAAAATCTTTGAGAAAAAAAAATACCAGTAAATTCTTCATACAATTTACTACCCATATTGTCTCTTTACTTGCCTCAGACTTTCTCCAGAATACGCAAACCGACCTCGTAAAATGAAGTATGTTAGATTCACATCTAGATTGGCTCTCTGAGGAATATACCGGTACATGTATATAATTGTGATGCAAAAGGGCCTTAAAGCCTTTGTCAGTTTTGATTGCCATTTGTGATGTATTGGTTTAACAGTTTCTAGCATTTTTGCAGTCTTTATTAATTGGCCTTTTGGGTTTGATTTGATGTTGAGTTCCTATATTTTTACATTAATATAGGTACATGTAGCATCTAATAATAATGATGAAATGCAAATGCTCCATTCTCATTCCAAGGTAACAAAGTGTTACCTTGGAATTATTATCAATTTATCACATCAAGAAAAACTAGGTTGATTATGCTTTTGATTTTTAACAGAAGCAGAGAAGTCTGGATATCATACTGTCTGATTCTTCAGAGGACGAGTTTGAAGAGCCTGTGAGTTTCACTTATAATATTTTGTGCAAGGATTTGTTTTATATTAGATAGAATGTTTCATCTATATACAAGTATATTTTAATTCCATTCATGCTTTTATCAATCAATTATTGACTTCTTGATTGATTTAATAAAATTGTTATTTTTTTAAGAAAAGAAAAAAGAAGACAGAAAATTTGCCACAGACTAGTACACCTGAAAGAAAACGATCTAAACGGGTAAGAACTGGGTACGTTACGTATAACAGAGCGGCCCTGTCTCCAAATTTGATTTGAGTTTTTTACAAACATCCCTACGATGTGTCCTTTCAAAATCATTTTATTTTTTTTAATTATTACAAACCGTTTTTCCAACAGAGGTCTCGAAAAATAGGGAGTTTTCTTTAGAAATTACAAATTTTGACGTGATAACGTCATCACGGCGTTACTGATTTTAACGTTACGTTAAAAGAAATCTGTAAATTCTCTGAACCGGAAACTATTTACTTAAACCTGTCATATGTTCCAGAAAACAATTTTGAACTTTTATTTCAATTCGTCGTAATGTATCTTTGATAGCTGGAAGGAGTATAATAATTTAAAGGAAAATATGATTTTATTACAAACGATTTCATCAGACAAGTAATGAAGCTTGATTCATCTATACAGACGAGACAAGCTAGTACTTCTTTTAAAATTGTGCTCATATCAAATTTATCATTTTTTTTATGTAGAAATGTCCTAATGATTTCTTCAATCATTTTCCGCATTGCCTGTGAAGTTACATTAAAATTCTTAAAGATACATGAATCAACATTAAAAAGAAAACTGGAACGTCCCATATAAAGTTGTCAAAATTGGATTCTTGGCAACGAAAAAGCCATCAACACCACTTCCCTTTTCCACTCCAACAAATGGAAGCGCTATTAATTTCGTATTTTCTTTCTTTTTTTCTTTTTTGATATTAAACGTATAATTACTCACTATTACGGGGTTACGAGGTGTCTTAAACTGCGTTAATTTTTTTTTATCTTTGATGTTTTAGGATTTCTTTTATAGATTGTTATTTATTCATTCAAGTGGATCCGCTTTACTGCATGGTTTATGTAAAATACACTAACCAGGAATAATCCCCAATATACTTACACACAATCACTTTTCATGTTAAAACCACAAGAGGAGACCGGTTATAAGAGTCCTGATTGATGAGACCATTCCAAGTTTTTTTCTTTGTTTAGCGTCCATCCTGAATTAGAAAACCTATCTTCCTATCCGAGAAAACACACAAACCAAAGGGGAAAAACGCAGCATTTTCAGAACAGTTCTAGAATTTCTTATTATCATTTGAGGCCTCTCCTCGCCATAAAACTTAGTTAAACCACTTTAGTTTATTGAAATGAAAAAAAATATTACACCACTTGAAAAAGAGAGATGTCAATCCCAAAAGAGTTAAATGGATTTCAGAGATTCGTATTTGTTGATTTTAATTTGAGTTAACTTTGTGTTTGCGTTTCAAAGCTTTGTATTTATCAATTTTAATTTGTGTTTCTTTTTAATTTCATAACCTTAAAACCAATTCGTCCGCGTACACTGCACATAGAAAAACAAAAAACAAAAACAAAAAACTTGGAATGGCCTTATCATAACTTGCGTTACAGACCTTGAAAATTTTGTTTCAAATAAAAACCGTGAATCTCCGAAGGCTTAAAAAAAGGGTGTACGATTTGTTTAGATCCATTTTTCGATGAACAAAATATTTTATATAGCCAATGCTAATAATTTAATTTTAGAGACGAACACAGTACTTTGCATGTACATACTCATTATTTGATAAACAAAATCGAAAATTATATGCCTAAATCTGCGTAGTGAATTCGACAGAAATGCACACGAATTCTCGGGAAGGGATTCAGAAGCCTGTAGTACACTCTAATGGGCATAATTCCCTTAAACTAAAAGTTATAAAAATAAGACTATAATATTATGTGTATGATTTACATATAGAGTTTACCCACGTCAGCTATGAAAATATGTGCATGTCGTCTTCAAAGCAATGCAGCATGAAACGGCAGCCACTTGCATTGATATCGATCAGTAAAAGATCGACCAACGGTCACAGTCGAGTGGGGAGCCAAAAAAATTGGAAAGGGATGTATTTAGTTTTAAATCAAATTCTTGATATAATTTTTTATTGGTACTCATTACAGTACATGTATAACGTGATTATCAATAACCCCCTTCCCCCCACTTCTATTTACATAGAGACGAAATACAAATAATCGAAATGCAGAATAACAGAACACTCACATAGAAGAATCAAAATTCACCTTCACGTCCCTTTTTATAAGCTACATAGAGATTTTATTTCTAGTTCAGTTATCAAATTATACGAAATCTGATGTTATTTTGTTACTTGTGGGAACAATACGCAAAACACGTCACATTGCTTCTTTATAGAGTTATCCTTGCCATTCCCGGATTATAACACTAGCTTGATTATGTTTCCTTTTCGTGTTAGTGTCTGATAAAAAAGAATCTTAAAAAATATACCTAACAAACTGCTGACATGAATTGCGAGACGATACATCTAGTCATTTACTAAGACAAAAACTGCATTAAAATAGATAAAGATTTTCTTTAGAACTCCTCCCTATGTTTACATGTTACACAGCCGTAGGTAAGATATTTGATATATTTTGGTGACAGTGATAATTTTATCACTTCCTTTGGGTACATTAACTCTCTGGGGCATTTCCTTCACAATTCTGTGCATTTGTCCTTGTAGTAACGAGAAAATACTTTTAATTTGTTTTTGTTTTTTGTTTTTTGGAACGGATTATCATCATAGACGGAAGTTGAATCTTTAAAATTTAGCGATAATGTGCACCGTTTTCACAGAGGTGATGTCGGACAGGACGCTCCTCCAGCCCCGATGAACATCCATTGGAATACTAAACATATTTCCTATGAAATATATTACTATCATTTCATGGATAATCTGGATAAAATCCTTTTAAACATACTCACTTACTTCAAGATTAACAACAGTGTACATGTAGTTAATATGTACATTCGTTTTTTATACAGATAAATATCTACAGAGTAATCTTTTTTTTTCTTTTTTTCATTTCAAGACTTGGAATGCCTTAAAAATGTATTAGGAAAACAATTTCTGGAAAAAAAAATTAACGAGTTAAACCATCGATTATGGAGCGGAAAAGGGGTGTCTTGTCCACAACTAATGCAAGATCGTGTTTGTATTTCTTACAGAACTGGGAACAGATATCTTTATTTATAGACAATAAAAAAGGTTGATTGTATCATGTTTCACTTAAATTTTCGTAGAAAATGCCGAAAGCGTATGTATACCAATGTATACGTTTTTTTAAGCCTTATAAACTTGGTCAACATAATTATCTAAATTTCTTGTAAATTATAAATTAAACCCGATTTTACTTGAAAACATAGATGTCAATATTCCGATCAGCATGATAAATGTATATATAATTAATAAGTGTAAATACATGTAAGAACTTTTCATTTCCAAGCTGCTGACCTTCAATAAGTAAATGTAGGTCGGCAGTGGCAGATTTAGAAGTATTTAGTCATATATAAAACACTTCCTGGTTATGTGATAAAACACTAGAATTATTTTTGATATAATTAATTTTGTCAAATAAAAACTGCAACAATACAGTGACAAATATAAAAAGTTTTGAAAAGAAATGTTCAAACGATGACTGCTATAGCCAAGCTTCCCATCTATCTCCCCCCTTTCCCAGCCCCAATCATTAGCTATTGTCTTTTGAAATTCATGAATCCCAGACATATGTAAATTGAAAACGAATAAAACATACTTAAGAAAGCTGATGATTTTCAATAAAAATGATAAAAATAATCTTTTCTTGAAGTCAAATAAAGTGAATGTCCACTATGAAGGAGACGCGAGTTTTAATTGGAGGTACATATAGGGTTAAATGTTAATTGATTGTCTGAACCATCCCAAATTATGTCGTTAAATTATTTTTTTCACACTGTAAATATTGATTGAATATTTATCATAGTTGCAAAGACTGAAGAATTTGTTTCACGTTCATATTTTCAACATGATTGCTCTTTGTGACGTCATTTTTTCAATGCATTGCGTCACTAATTTATATGTAATGTCCCATAGTAAATTTCACTGAGAAAGGTTCATATGGTTTTCATTTGCATAAATAATTGTATTAAATTATCTTTTTTTTTCAAATGCAGAATTGAATTTAAAAGACAATAAAAATAAAAAGCCTTCAGATATAGAATTAAACAATTAATTTCTTTAAAAATATAGATTTTATTGTGGAGAAAAGGTGACGTCTATCCAAAAATGCAGCACTTTTTACTTCAATTTTTGTAAAAACGGATGTGGCCGCACTTTTGTAAGGTTGTTTTTTCTCTTTAATATTAAAAATCGTAGTGTATTTGTTCTTTCTGCAAAGTTTCGCATACATACTCGGATGCGGCCATATCGAAATATAGACTTGAAGAGGAGGAAAACGTCCAAAATAGGGGAATTCCGGAATATTAGACCGGTTTTGAACGTTATATAAATGAAAGGGCACGTGAGTTGAGAAAAATTTATTACTATATCACAAACAGGGAAACCTTAACAGTTAATTGATACAATTTATATAATGTAATCGTGCGTTTAATTTTTGCCGATTTTACAGGGCCGTAAATCGGTCTTAACGTACCCATCTCTTAATAATTTCCATAAAACCACATTTTTATGCAGCCTATTAAAACCATTGCGTTTTATGTTTAAGTGATGTTATGACAAGAGGTTAGACTTTCAGAGGCGCATAAGCATGAAAATGTTAATGCATAATTTTAAAGCCTCTAAACCTTTGTCAGTTTTTATAACCATTAGTGATGTTTTGCTTAAACAGTTTATAGTTTTTTGCAGTCTTTATTAGTTGACCTTTTGGGTTTGATTTGATGTTGAGTTCCTATATTTTTACATTAATATAGGTACATGTAGCATCTGACACTGAAGATATGCCAACGCTCCATTCCCATTCCATGGTAACAAAGTGTTTATATCATTATTCAAGTTCAATTAAACAATTACATTCTACATACATGTAGGTTTTGCTTGAGTTTGTTTTATTGATATTTTCATCATTTATTTGTTTTTATAACTCCACAAACAAAGTTTGGGGGGTGGTAAATATAGGAATTGCCATATCTGTCTGTCTATCTGTCTGTCTGTCTGTCTACATGTATATTGGAAACCGTGTCTAGTCCATATATTTCTTATGGAGAAACATTGAATGTTCTTACTTCACACAAAGATTGCTTATGATCTGAGGGTGTTCCTGATCATGATTTGACCTATTGTCATTTGGGCATGTTCAATGTCATCGAAAGAAAAAAGCTCATGATTTGTGTCTGCGTTATACCTCTCTTGTGGAGAAACATTGGATGTTCCTACTTTATCTAAAGATTCAGTGACTCTAGTTAAATACTTTTTTGGGTTTACAGAAAAAGAAAAAGGGTGTCTGCAGTACAGCCAGTCCTCAAGAATCTCCAGTAAGATTATAATAACAATGAATTTCTGTTGTTTTAAACAATAATCATAGAAGTTTTACCAAGATTTTTTGTTTGATAAAAACCAAGCAAACAGAAATTTTACATGTAAATGTTGACATTTACCAAATGATATTTACTCACAATACCAATCCATTATGCCAGAAGAAACTATTTTGACAATTTTAGCTCACCTGGGTCAAAGGCTTGAGTGAGCTTTTCTGATCAAAATTTGTCTGTTGTCTGTCATCGTCAAAGTTGTAAACAGTTTTAATTTTCATCTTCTTCCCCAGAACCAAACTTGGTACAAGGTATCATTAGGTGAGGGGGATTCAAGTTTGTTAAAAGTGAAGAGCCACACCCTCTCTCAAGGGGAGATAATTAGGAATTTTTGAAAATTTATTGGGTGGGGGGGGTCAAAAATTTTCTTCTCATAAAACATTTGGCCATGAGCCATACGTGGAAGCACCCCCAGGTAGTGTAGATTTAAATTGTTAAATTCATGGTCCCCATTGGTAGGGTGCGTCAAATTTTTACATAAAAATATATGATGATTGAAAAATCTTCAGAAAATATTTTCTTTAAAACTTATAGGTCAGAAATGCTGTTACTTGTGTGAAAGCATTCCCAGGTAGTGTTGAGTTCAAGTTGAGTCCGCAATGGAGGGTCAAAATTTTACGTAGAAAAAAAATCTTTCAAAATCATTTCTTTAAAACTAATGTGATACTACAATGAAATCATTTTGATCCAATAGGGGCTATATGTTGAACATAAAAATATCTAGAGTGAAATGAGAAAACTCATTTATACAAGCATCTTTTACTTCATTGTCCAGATTTATGTTTGACTCCATAAAGCTGATTATATAATGGCTTTTGTTGCTCAGGTGAGCGATGTGGCCAATGGACATCTTGTTCAGTGGGAGGGGTGTATGGTGCCTTGAGCAATTTAAACTTAATGTATACAATCCCTGGATCAAGTTTAAATGTTATGTAGCCAAACAAACCACTAATGTTTGGATAATACAAATAAATAAATGTTAATATATGAAATTTTTCGCTGTCTTTTAGATTTAAAGTTGTTCGTATTCACTCTTATCTGGAAAAGCATGCTGTATGTTTAAATTCATATACCTGTAAAAGAAGACAGATAATGGATTTACCTATTCTGATTTTGCAGATTAAGAATGACAGTTCAGATCTGCCAGACATTCCTGTAACGGTATGTGTGACATTATGAATGTACATTTCATCTTTCAAAGTCAAGAGTCTCTGATTCGATCCACACTTATGTATAGCGAAGCAAGTCAGAAGCTTATGCTTATTTATGAAACATTAATATTCATATGTTAAATTTTGTCCCTTACTTTACCATTAAAGGACACAGATGAAGGCAAATGTACAGATGAGAATATGGTAGTTATTTTTTTTAATTTTTAGCTCACCGAGACGAAGTCGGGGGGAGCTTATGCTATACCCCTGGCGTCGGCATCAGCGTCTGGACCTGGTTAAAGTTTTTGTTGCAGGTCCAGTATCTAAGTTATTACTTGTCCTATCTTCACCAAACTTGCATGGATGATGCATCTGGACCTACTTATGGACTTGAAAGACTTGGATGCTGAATCTGGGCCATGAATTTCAGATGCTGGAGGAGGTTAAGGTTTTTGGAGCAGGTTAAAATTTTTGGTGCAGGTGCCCTTTGATAGCAATTTCTAAGTTACTACTGGTCCTAACTTCACCAAACTTGCATGGATGGTGCGTCTTATGATACTGATGCACCAGACAGGCTTGAATGCTGAATCTGAGCCATAGGTTTCGGATGCTGGAGGAGGTTAAGGTTTTTGGAGCTGGTTAAAGTTTTGGGAGCAGGTGCCCTCTGATGATTATATCTTAGTTATTACTGGTCCTAACTTCACCAAACTTGCATGGATGATGCGTCTTATGATACTGATGCACCTGACAGGCATGAATGCTGAATCTGAGCCATAGGTTTCGGATGCTGGATGAGGTTTTGTTTTTTGGAACAGGTCACATGTTTTATAGGTAATAGTACTGTACTATTTCAAACTTGCATAGTTGATTTAACTATAATATAAACTAGTTCTAATTGTAACGGGGACCGTTACAGATGTTCCCCAAACGCTCCCCAACTCCCTTTTTGTGCCAATTTCCTTTAAAACTTTTTTTTTAAGATGCTCAGTTATCGCAGGATTTCATAAAAAAAAAATTAAAAGCTACAATGATATTTTTTGTCATTAAACGCATTGCACGCAAACGCACGTGCATACACATGCAAGGTGATCATTGCATGTTGTCTAAACTATTTACATATCTTTATATTCTATAATATAGCTAAGAATCAATAAAAAGTCATAAAAATATAAATGTTACCGTTTTTCAAATACATTGTTCATTTTTCGCATTGCACTTGCGCAAATACATGCAAGCACGCCCTTGCATTCAATCTTGATAGTAGTATCATGTAGGAATTCATTATTTCTATTCATAATCTAAATTTCATCCTGTTCTGTTGAGAAACAACAAAGTTATAGGCATCTAAAGTTTCAGCCAATCAGATTGCAGCACACGTAAATTAACATGCTTTTATGATAATTCTTATATTTCATGCTGTAGATCTTCATAATGTATGACTATGTTCAAAATTTCAAAGGATTATGACGTAAAACAAGAAAGATATTGAGAATTTAGTTTCAGCCAATCAGAGCGAAGCACACGTGCATGCGCGTAAGATCTTGCTCTTTTGACCACATCATCTTGTTGATACTACTAATATATCCATACATTGTGAGTTTCAAAAAATTCCATCAAGAAATAGAAAAGTTAAGGCTTCATTCATTATATTGGTAATTTCACATGTTGCACGTGCGCGCTCTTGCCAGCACACGTGCATGTACGTGCTTTCATGAACATTCTTATATATCATGCTGTAGACCTTCATAATGTGTGACTAAGTTCAAAATTTCAAATGATTATGACGTAAAACAAAACAGATATTGAGACTTTAGTTTCAGCCAATCAGAGCGAAGCGCACGTGCATGCGCGTGAGATCTTGCTATAATGACCATGTCATCTTGTTTATACTACTAATATATCCTTACATTATGAGTTTCAAAACATTTCATCAAAAAGGTTACAAACAGTAATCTGGAGATGTTTTTTTTATTTTCAACATTGGAATATCGCAAATGAAAATGGTGTCGTCAAACAGCCTTCAATGTCTTATCTATTCAAATCCCGACTATATAATAAAACAGTTATGGACTCTTTTGGTGTTGAATATGGTTTGTTTTTCACCAGAAAAATATCCATATTGACCTCAGCTTCGCCTCGGTCAATATGAATATTTTTTTTGGTGAATAACAAACCATATTCAACACCAAAAGAGTCCATAATTGTATAATATCACATGATATTGTATCATATGATATGATACAATGTTGTATCAAATTATATTGTATCAATTGATACAATATCATATAATGTATCAAATATGATATAATATCATACTATATTATACAATTTAATATCATATGTTACAATATTGTGATGTATTATGTGATATGATATTGTATCATATAATACTATATTGTATCATAAATAATGATATAAATTGTATTATGTGATCAAATACAATAATGTATACAATAGGATACAATGTCATATCATATGTTACAATATCATATTGGATCATTATTTATAACAGTATTATATTGTATAATATGATATAAAATGTATCATAGGATGCAATATCATATTTTATATTATTGTATTGATAAACATTGAATCTTATAATACTATAAAATGAACATATGGTTATCATGCAATTTTTTAACATATGACAATACGATATTGTGTCAAAACAGTATCCATGAATATCCAAGATCATTAACAATGATTTTTATATAATATGATAAAGTTGGTCTCAAAAAGGTGATGCTTCCCCTTCATAAAGGTGATGCCTCTTCTCGGTGAGCTTTGTAATCTGTGATTACCTATGTTTAAACTTTATAAAGGTACATGTGTACTTAATTCAAGGTGTTTTACATGAATGGTAGAAATGTGGGTGTTACTTTTCACTGCTTCTCCAAATTATCGTAAGACAGTCGGTGTTAATTTTAGATTAGGTAAAGGTATGATCAAGCATGACAGTGTCACCTGAATAAACAACCCATTACTCTGGTCCCGTGTCTAACGCCTGGGGCCATTTAAATGACCTAGTAGGTGTTAATTAGGTGACGCTTGCCTGTACACAGCCACTTCAAGGTATCAATAGTAAAAAACAATAGATTATGAATAACAGGACCCTAGACTCATTTCGAGCGATCAAGAACTTTGAGCCATCAAGAGTTTCCTGTATATGATTCCATAAAGCTTTCAAAATTTAGAATACACATAATGTTTATCTATTTATACAGAGAGATGATGATGATGAGATTATGAAAGAATTTGAGGAGGTTTGTATTTTCTCTTCCTCTCCGATTTTCCCTCTGTATTCTCTTTCTAATGCTAGCTTGTTCTCTCTCTCTCTTTCTCTTTCTCTCAGCTACTGAGCTTACCCTGTGTGGTGTCCAGAAAAACAATATAAGCTCCACATCTTTCCCTGCTTGCTTTATTTTGATATTTTCCCTGAATTATTACAGATGATGCAACAGAGGCAGGAAAAACAGTTGGTAAGCATAATTGACATAGGTTTGTACTGTGTGTGTCCAGCTCATAAGAATTAAAATACAAAGTTTATACTGTTACTGTGCTAGTAGTAAATCAAGTTTCCATGCATTTGTGCAAACTATAAACTAGTAATTAGATATGGTGTGATATTTCAGTTGTCAAGCAATTTTTTTATGATCATAATGATATCAATTGAAAAGTATTGTAAAATATGTTCAAGATTCATTTTTGAATTAAGTCTGTTTTTGATAAAAAAATAATGAAACTAATTAAAAGGTAAAAACTTTATCTTCTGAATCAAGACAACATGATAAAATGATCATCCCTCTATCCTGGAAAACAGTAAAGATCACAATAATTTGGTGCTATTCATGGAAGAAACTTGACATGTGAAATACAGAAGTTTATATCTTCTAGAAAATTGCAGGCATTTCTCAAATGTTTTTCTAGTATTTGTCAATGTTGGTTGGCTTTTCTTTCAAATGTCTTAATATGTACAAGGTTTTGAAAATTAATTTTTGATTATCCAAGCAGAAGAATCAGTGGAGCTGTCAAACTGTAATGGATAATTAATTTTCATTTATTTCAATTCTAAATGTTTATAAAATTTAATTATGGTAAAAAATATCCCCCCCCCCCCTCAAAAAAAAAAAGAAGAAATTATAAATGTTTTATGTTGGACTTATTTCAAACTAAACTATAGATTTCTTTTTGAAGTTCGCACAGAGTTCATTCCTATACTTTCCAACCAAAGATGAGCCCCAGGTTCAACTCTGCGTTGTGTACGAGAGCCATGGGGGTCTTGCAATTAACAGGCCATTCAAACTGAATGATACAGTAAAGGTATGTCAAATAGAATGGAGGGGGTTCAAGCTAATACACATCACACTTTTGATGGGCTGAAGATCCACATATGGAATCTTTAAGTTTGACAGGTACGCAAATTGTTATCATCAGTGTAAGAAGAAAAAGTTTTATATTAATTTACAAAATAAATACCAGAGAATATATATGGTTTTTAATTTTCACTTTCATACACATTGATGAGCAATGCCTGTGAATAATGAAGAGTTTAATAAGTTCATATAATTAATTAAAGCGTAACACTGTTCGTAAATAGGTATTGACAGCCGTATATCTATTTCATCGCCACTATCTCTACAGCCCAAATATAAGCCGCAGACCTCTTACAGTTTTAAGTATTTTGCTGTAGAGGTCTCACCTGTGTGGATGTACCACTTGCCTCGCTGTGTTACTTGGTCGCGATGAAATTATCAAATGTTATGCTAAATGGATAAACTCAGGTGACCTATTGCTATCTGTTTTCGTCCGTCGTCGTGCGTCGTGTGTTAACATTTGAACATTTTTAGCTTCTTCTCTGAAACCACTGAACCAATTTCAACCAAATTTGGCATATAACATGTATGGGTGAAGGGGAACAAAAATTGTGAATTTCACGGTCCCTGTCCCCCTGGGACCTGGGAAGTTGGTCAAAAACCACTAAAATTAGTGCAATCTTTAAAAATCTTCTTCTTTACTCCTGGACATCAAGTAGTTAAACTGAAGGTATGATCGTAATCAGCATTGAGTTCTCTACCAAAATTGTGAAATTTATGGCCCCGGGGTCAGGGGTTCTTGTGCTAGGGCGGGGCTAAACAGGTTATATAGTGAAAATGCATTATTTCTTTGAAATTCTTCTTTTCTGTTTGTGAACATTAAATAAACTAACCAAGTGCAAAGGTAAGTTGAAAATGACCGCCTTTTCCAAAATTGTGAATTTCATGGTCCCAGGGTCAGGGGTTCTAGTGCTAGGGCGGGGCTATATAGATTATATAGTGAAAATGCATAAATTCTTTGAAAAACTTCTTTTCTGTTTGTGGGCTTTAAAATAAACAAACCAAGTGTATAGTTATGTTGAATAAGACTGCCTCTTCTCAAATTGTGAATTTAATGGCCCCAGGGTCAGGGGTTCTAGTAGTAGGGTGGGGCTATATAGATTATATAGTGAAATTGCATAAATTCTTTGAAATTCTTCTTCTCTGTTCATGGGCATTAGATAAACTAATCAAGTGCATGGCTATATTGAATAAGGCTGTCTCTTCCAAAATTGTGAATTTCATGGCCCCAGGGTCAGGGGTTCTAGTGATAGGGCGGGGCTATATAGATTATATAGTAAAAAATGAATTATTTCTTTGAAAATTTTCTTCTTTGCTCCTGAGTATTAAATAAACTAACCACATAATTACATAAGTACTTAATTATGTTGAATAAAGCTACCTCTTCAAAAATTGTGAATTTCATGGCCCCTGGGTTGGGGATTCTGGCGTTAGGGTGAGGCTTTATTGAATATATAGTGAAAATGCATAAATTCTTTAAAACTCTTCTTTTCTGCACCTGAGCATTTAACCAATAAACTATGTACATAGTTATGAGGAGGAAGAATGCCTCTTTGAGATTTTTGAATTTCAGGGTCCCTGGGTTAGAGATTCTTGTGTTAGGGGGGGGGGGGCTCTGATGTTTATATAGTGAAAATGCTTGAATTCTTTGAAAATCTTTTCCTTTGTTATTTGGTATAATGCCAATGATCTTAGTATATATTTATGAAAAAACTGCTTCTTCCAAAAATGATTAATTTCCTGTCCCCTGGGGCAGAGGTACTTTGGGGTGGGGGGGGGGGGTAACATAGTCTGAAATAATTTAATGCTTTGAAGTTTGCACTTTGGTATTAATCAACAGCATGATGAAATAAAATTTTTAAAAATTTCCAAAATTTCGAAAGATGTGGCCCCAGGGTCAGTGGTTCCTGTGGGATGGGGAGCTCAACTATGGACCCGCCCTAACATAAGAAGCCCTGACCCAGGGGCCATGAAATTCACTAAAAGTGGAAATGCATTTTCTCTTTGTTGCTCTGATCTACCTCTGGGTTTTAAGTAACCAAAATTAGCATGCTGAGTGTATAATTATGATAAGCAATAGTGCCTCTTTCAAAATTGTAAATTTCATGGCCTCTAGTTTAAGACATGAATCAAATTCAATTGTTGGAAAGTTGTTGCATGATACTCAGGTGACCTATAAGGCCCATGGGCCTCTTGTTATGAAATTATTGGCCTATAGGCTTCAAAATGTAATGTTATCACAGACAAAGAGAGTTGAAAGTGTAAATATTTAGAAATAGAATATGTACATAGAAAAGAAATAAATGCATAAAATCCAAAGACCACGAAAGGAAAACTACACATCAAAACTACACGTCGAGTTTCATGTGTGCAATTGGGTGTAACTTAATTGAATGGTTTATATAACTGTGTGATGGTGCCCATTTACGAGTAGGGTTCAGCTTTAAATTGCCCTTTCAATAAATCTTATAGGTATAATCCCTGTTTGCCCTCAATAGATTTGATGATTTGGATTTAAATTTTTAACTTACTTGCAAGGTTAATTGTATTATAATGAGTAATTAATGCAGTGCAAATCAACACAAAGTACAACAAGTCGTGCAAGTTATTATTAAGTAATTATTTTATATTCTTTTCAGAGCGTTTTCAGCTGGATATGCGTGGAGGTCGATCCTGAAATTCTCCCCCCCCCCGTTTTCCACTTGGAGTGTCGCACACCCACCAACTGCCCTAACCCCAGTTGCCCGCACATTTATGAACTAAAAAACAACTTCAAAGTGAAAGTGGGGGACTTGCCAAATATATTATACCTGCGTGAAGGGGTAGGTATTTCAGAAACCATCATTAATTGACAATGCCCACTAAGAATTGACAATGCCCACTAAGAAAATGCATTTTATACTTGCATATACATTGCTATCACAAAGTAAGGTTCTTTATCATTTTGTAATGAAAAGTTGAACACAAGCAAGAATTGCTTTTGCATGAACAGACATAAATTAAGTCTCATAAAAGAATTGATACAAAATTTGAATGAAAGTACATGAGGAAATTTATTCTTCTCTTTTTTTTTAGTATTTTGCCACAGAAGAAACTTTCACTGGATTTGGGGATGTTCTCATGTAACAAGAGAATATAAATTTGTAGCAGTTTTTTTTTTCTTTTCCCCATCACATTTGTATAGAGTACCATTTTTCATTATTGAGCATTTGATATCATTATGAGCAGAGATTTTTTTTCATAGACAGCAATATGGCTGCTTTGTATCAACCATTAATAGAGCGAATAAAAAAACAGAAAATATTATCAATACATGGATTTGGAAAGGACTAATGTTTGGAATGATCCTGTACAATTTAATAAACATAAGAAATAACACAATATTCATTTTCTTCTTTATTATATCTTATTATTATATCAGTGATCAACTGTTTATCCTCAAATTGAATGTAAAAAGTGGGTATCTTGACAGAGGAACTATTAAAAATGAATCAAGGTCAGATATAACCAATGTACTATTATTTTTGTTCTCCATCGCCCCAAAGGGAATTTTTCACTAAATCCACTTTAATGTGGATAAAAGTACACGATCAAAATACACCTTTTTAGAATTTTAAAATGGTACCTATTTGACCAAAAAGAGTCTTTAAAATATTTTTGGAAAAGTCAAAATTATAAAAGCCCCAGCAGTATTGGCACTCGTGACATTAAAGATTTGTAGACAAACCGATTGTTATATACCGTTTGGTAACAATTATGGGTAAGGAATGATTCATAAAATTATACTTGATTCTTCTGGTATATTTTGATCAGAACAATATCCAAAATATGGAGGCATCCCATTACACCTGAACTTTTTTTTTATTTTGATACTGAAATTTTGACCTTTACAGAGTATCAGTTCACTAATCCTAGTTTCAGAATCTGATTTATTCAAGTATTAATCACTTTCAAATATCGTTAATCCAACATCTATTTATATTATTATATTGCTTAATCTAGGTTGAAGGACTTACAGTAAAACTCAAATACAGCTTTTTTTATTATAAATTCATACTTCATTAAAGCAAGTTTTATTAATGCATTGGTAAGTTAAGTAGATGTATTGAAATAACCAACCAAAATCACTTATACATGGTGCTTCACTGTAATCATGTTGTACTTGGTTAGAACGTGAGTTTTTGGCCAAAAAGTTTCGTTTGAAATTCAGTCAAGTTAAACATTAACTTCATTACTATCAAGCGGCATGGTCTCGCTTATGGTCAAATTTGATATTTCTGCTTTCATTTTTAACAATGCTTTAAAATGCATTTCTAATTATAAACCAACTTTGAGCGTCAGTTACAGATATGAGCAAGATACAGATCTCAAATTTTTCTGTCATGTAAACAAGGCTCCGGTCATGTTTTTGTTTCCATTTGGTCAAAATAGCGAAAAAAGATCTTTTTCAAACTGATTTTTCTTTCTTCTGATTAGTTTTGAACATAAACAAGTAGTTTCTAGCATTTGTCGGATTCATTTTAGGTCTAAACCTGGAAAATTCAAAATGTAAACAAAAACATAACTCGAGATTTGTTTACATAACAAAGAATTGTGTGCTATGTATCTCACTTACAAATTGACGACCGATGTTCAAATTTTGGTTGAGCATTAGAAATGCCTTACTTAAGTATTTACATTATAACTTTTTAAGCACTCTTCAGTAGTGTCACATTGTCAACAAGTTGTGAAATTGTTATCTGGGAGGCATAGTAGTAAGTTGCAGGACTCTTTAAATTTGCATTCACTGGTTAAACTCCCAAGTAATATAAAGAACATTAAAAGAACTACTGGATAATATAAATTAAAATTCAATGCATTGATATTTTTTTTATTGTTTTTTTTTTTTTTCATTTGTACATGTTTTACAATTCCCATCCCATATAATATGTTTCCTGATGATGTACAATGTACATGTACTTGATGTGTACAAACAGATGTTCATAATTAAACATACACAACCCAGAATTTATAGAATATATTATTAATTATAAGAATAGGATATAAAATACCCGGAAAAAAAAGCAAAAAAATTAATGATATATTTGGTGCTCCAATACATCTTTGAGTGCAATATACATAGTTCTGGCTTCTAATATTGTTGAAGTACGGTAATAGTCTGAGATGATGTCAAAAGCTTCCTTAATGTCATCATCCAAGTCATTTTGAAAGCAGCATTGAGATTTCAGAAAATGAAACCGCTCATCATTAACATCGATATAATGAAGATAATTTTGGCACTGTGGATTGCCTGAAATAAAAAATGAAATAAAACATCATACACAATTAACTAAACATGTTTTTCAGTTTTCAATATAAAATTCCTTTGGAAAAATTCTTACATTGTCATAGGAAAATACTTTGTATATATTAAATCATTTGTGACCTTGTTGTTCTTAAACGATGTGTTTCATAGGACATAGGTAAACAATTGCAATTTTTTTCTCTTATAAAAGTATTACACAGCGAAACAAGTCATTATTTTGTGGGTTAAGCATCTTTCAAAGTCAAGACTTTCTGATCCGCTCCGCTCTACATAAACCCTTGACCGAATAGGCAGTGTTTGGCTGGGTTAGAAACCTCGCACGCTGGTTGGTGTCATACAAGTTTGCATGATCCAATAAGAAACGTGGTTTCAATAATGATGTTAATTGTGCATTGATCAATGTTGAATCATTGTCAAATAAATTTGAGACGAACTGCCTATTCGATCATGGGTTTATGTAGAGAGGAGCAGATCAGAAACTCTTGACTTGGAAAGATGAGGTTAAGAGGTTATATATACATGTATGTCAACATATTAAATGATCTTTTAAAAAGAGACTTTAAATTTCATGCATTTTTAATTCCAACAAATTTTTAACTAAAAGATACTCTGACAGGGGCCAAAATTTTAACTTTCTTTAATTGTTACTATAGATATATACATGTACATGCTACTTTAACACAAGAGGAATGGGGAAATGTCTGGTATAAAGCTTTTTTTGTAACACAGTTCCTTGTAAGCAACTTATGATGAAATTTCTTGATTTTAAGTTCATTTATACACAATTTTCTATGAGAAAAAAAATCAGTTAACAAATGTACAAAAGTCTGTTGATCCAGCATTGTAGTCTTTAACAGTGTCCACAAGAGTTACATATAAAAAATTGAATCTAAAGAACTTTCAAATACAAACCTATTTTTACTTTCAGCAAAAAAAAATATGTGAACCGAAATTTGATCACTTTGTAAATGATTCCAGAATCAAAACAAGTAAACTGACCTAACATTTCAGGAACATGATAAAGGAGCTCAGGTATCCCAGGAACAATATCACCTGATTGTTGTTTCCTGATTCTGTGGTTATTCCAGGCAAATTTCACTTCTTCCAATTCTTCTCTGATAATCTGCATGTAGCAGTACTGAACTAAAGTTCTGAAATGAAACTTGATATTAGTTTCTTGGCTTCAAACATGGATCTGATTGGTTCATTAGCTTTTGATACTTTTGATATTGAATTTAAACCACACATATTTGTGTGATATACTGACAAACCGGTAGCAACTGACAAAGCAAAGCTACAGAAAATATAAACAACAAGAGGCCTTGACAGTCACTTGAGTCCCATAACCCTTAGATTGACATGTCAGAGTCTCATGTTTGCATTTTCAGCTTCATTTTGAGTTCTAAACCCTTATCTTAGAGTCCTATGACTGTTACCTTGCCTTTATTATTTTAGATTCATTCACATGGGGGAGTAGTTCAAGAGTCCGAGGAATTTTGAATTGTCTATACCTTTATAGCTACAGAGGCCAATTTTTTTTTATTCTATTAATGATTGAATAGTTAGCCTATTTAATCTGTTGGTTATTTCTAAGTAAAAAGCAAACTTACATATGAAGATCATCACCAATTGTAAAATGACCATCTTTTTCTAATTCCTGAAAACCATAAGAAAAATAAATAGAAAAGCAGAACAATATTGCCTAAACTTGAATACCCATCTTAAACCATTTTTTTTTTTACCCAATCCTTTGTTTATTTTTAGCTTTTATATTTAGTATATATTATCCAGTATGATATACATCTACTCCATTTTTCAGAATCAGGAATCAAAACAAGATATCTGTGAGCCAATGCTCACTAGTAATACCACCGCTCTAATGTGAATATACAAAATAAGCAAAGTGGACTTAAACAGGAAGTTGACCTCCAAAAAATGTGTACAAAAATATATCCAAGTGTATAGAATTCCTAAACAAATAGTGTGTTAAAATTTTAAGCACCTGCAATGAATAGTTGCTGAGAAAAATACGACAAAAATTTTTGTTACGGACAGACAGACAGACAGACACACAAGGGTAAAACAGTATACCCCCTTCTCCTTCAGAGCGGGGGTATAATTAATGCATTTTATCATATTAATAACTGGTAACCACAAATCACATCAGATATGATCAGAACATACACTATAACAAATTTCACTGCACTACATTAAAAATCATATTCTTCACAATCTAAAAGTTAATTCTTGATCATCCGAACTACATAGGAAAAAGGTTCATAAAACTAAACCTTGACCGTCAACCTCCTCCACACCCCTGGAAAAATTTCTGCATCTGAGTCGGTCAATGCATTCTTTGTTTTGGTTGGCTTAATCATTTCATCAAATGATATTGTAATTAAGTCGTATCAAAAGTTGGCACAACATTCCCACCCTCCATATCCAGATTATCACAGTGTTAATATATGCAGTCCATCTTTTAAATCCTTAAATATTGTTAAATAAGAAATGCTCTCCCCAATAAAGAATGAGATGGTGTTGCTTAGTAGAAGAGTGAATGAATATGAAATTTTTACAGCACAGCTATATAAACCTCCTGCATATCCATTAAGTGAACAACAGAAAGTTCTATGCAACACTGGTTTTATTGTTCAAAGTTAAGAAATATATTTATCAGCATTGTCAACAGGTTAACTTGATTGTGTCCATTCTTAAAACAATGAAGGTAATGTTTTAAGTTGGATATTAGCCTCAAGCTGTCCATTCTGTGAGAGAAAGAAGTAATCTCGGCCCTACAGGCCTTGATCAGTTTTCTCTCACAGAATGAACAGTGTTCGGCTTATGTACTTTACTTAAAGGATGGAAAAAATACTTGTATTTTTCTAACCTTAAAATGATGAATCCATTGATCTGTGCATTTTCTTCTCAAAATTCCCCACCATCTCTCTATCCTCTTCAATAAAAAACATTAAAATTTAGAAGCTATGTTGCAGATTCAATATACAGTCATTCAGTCAAAATTCAAAGTGAAAGGGCAGTGCTTTTAAATCAGTCAATAACCACTAATATTGGGATGGGTTTGAACAACTTCACATATGACACAATGACACGACCTGTTGTAAATTAGCTAATAGTTAATAATAAACATTACTTGATTATGAGTGGATTTTCCATAGAGGAAGGATTTCTTGCTGAAGCAGTCATCATCATCTTCTCTCAAGAAGTTTTGAATGGCAGCTACTGTCCCATTCTCTGTTCCTTAAAAAATATGTGGGTATTTCAAACAGGGATATAAAGAAACAAAAAGGTAGTTTACACATAAAATCAATAAAAAGAATTCTAGGGTACAAAAAAATTACCCTCAAAAGATGAAGGCCGAAATCTCACAATAAAATTAGTTTCAAAAGCATGTTATCTTCTATAATGGGTAATCAATTTCACCCAAGCTCAACTATTATTTAATTTTTTTAAAGTTGAAGTATCAAGACCAGAGAATAACAAATCATTACTTTATAAACTAGACATAATTGAGATAGTCGTCTCAAAAGGACTGGATAAAAAAATGGACATAAGGATGAAAAGTTTTTCAGAGAATTTGCTTTCACCTTAGAAATATTTTCAGTTGGCATAGAACTTTTAATTCAATCTCATTAATCACACAACCTTGACCACAGGCAACCAGTGGTTGCAGTATAACTTAGATTAAGATTTAAGAAGGTATGCTCCTGACCAGAGTTTTTTTTTTTTTTTGACATACTGTAAACCAACTTTTATTCGCGTGCGAGAAATTTTCGCGAAGTTTGCGAGACCCTCGTCATCGCGAATATTTCTCGCCGCGAACCGGTTATTATGGTCTATGTGTTTATTAACAAGAGAACCTAAATAGGCGTGATCGCGAAAATTAATCGTCGCGAACTAGTTTACCCCTGGTAAATCGCGAAATAAAGTCGTCGCGAATAAAAGTTGGTTTACAGTAATTCTAAAAGGACATTCACATCTGACCTTGAAAGGTTCAAGGTTAATGCACACCCTTTAACTTAACAAGATGCCCACAGGTCTTGATGGTCACCCAAGTACCATAGCTCTTAGATTGATATGTCAGTCTTATGTTTTCATTTAAAGCTTCATGTTGAAGTCTAAATGCTAATCTGAGACTCTTATGTTACCCCACTTTTATTATTCGTTGTTTAAAAAACACTTTTTTTTAATGAAAATGTTGATGGGGTGGGAGTGGAGGATTGTACCTGTTTGACAGCAGCCCACCCATAATTTTCACCATTTTAATAACAGGACTTTTCTTTTGGAAAACTCATTTAAAAATTGCAGGTTCACATATTCAAATGGTTTTCAAAAAATGCACAAATTGTCATACTATTCTATGCAGTAGGAAAAAAATCTATAGGATGGGGGACAAATTTGTCCTTAGAGACGGACTGGATGATTCCAGCATACCTCCTTTAGATTTATTTGCAGGGGTATCTATGTTATTACTAGCCTGACAAATCAATAACATGATTTATTCCTCTCTCTCTTTTTTTTTTTTAAAAAATCACACTCTATGGTTTTATAAAAAAACTGACCTGCATCTCCTCGAATAATATGTGGGAATCCTACAAATCAGTATTCAAGATGTATATACATCAACATTAATAGATGCAAAAGGTAAAAAAATATTACAGAAAACAAGCCATCTTGCTTTAACTCCAGAAATCAAATGAGATATTGTCTTCAATATATTCATTTAACAAACCAACTCTTCCAAATCTTTGCACTGAATTACATGTACCTTTAACATTCTCCAAAGTCTTCAAAAAGTACCCTGCAATCTTTTTGGGGTTTTTATTGCTGACACCAGCTTCCACCCAAAGCACATAGCGGGAAAACCTAATATTACAATGGAACATGTAAGATTTGTAAGCTTTTGCATTACCATATTCACCTCTGGGTGGAGAGAGTGCACTAGTAAAGTAACTTGCCCAACTTAACCGCAATAGCGACAGACTAGACTCGAACCCGGGGCTAAATCTGTCAACGCTATCAAATGCGCCTACATCTCTAGGGACATAGTAAAAAGTATAATTAATAAATTCCCAACATTTTATGTTTACCTACCCATCAATGCATCCACTGATATATATCCCAAAAGGGCTCAATTTATCATACTGATCTACAATTATTAAAAAAGATACTAAATATCATACAGTTTTTAATTTAAAAATCTATATACACCATAAATGATTCATTCTGCTGTTTACTGGCATTCATTGATCAGCAGACTTCACCAATGTATTTGAAATATACGTACATTGCAATGACTTGTTTCAAAGCATAGAAACTAAATATATTTATATATTTACATTACACGTGTATATGTTGCTCATGTGCCACAGTACTATACATGTATCATAATGCATGAAAATAAAATACTAAAATGAATTAAATTTGATTTAACAACTTTAATAACAGTGATTCATTTTGAAAATTGTCTTCACGAGTCCAAAGGCCCCCTTTTAACCATAATTATGAGTCCCAAGCCGAAAACAACAAGTCCATATTTATTTTACATAGAACATGAATATCAAACAAGCTATGCTTATCTAAACTAAAATTTTAAATGACCATACTAAGAGACAGGCAAAGTGCTGTCACTGGGACCCTTCAGAGTTTCGCCTGTTTCTTTATCGCCTGTATCAATAGCCATTTATTGAACGTTCTGGATCAGCGTTCCTTTTAGCATGAACCTCTTTGTTGTTATTAACTGCCACTTGTCTACTTTTTCATAAACCCTGGTTAATATATCCTGGATCCAGAGTAATTTTATCCGTTTTATTCGGTAGCATCATGATCAACATCAACACGGTAATGTCATGTATCATTGGATCTCATTGGTTAATTACTAAGTGTTGACCTATGAGATTTCTGCTTTTGTAGTGTGTTTTAATTCGGAATATTTCGGGCATCTAGTTTGTAGGTTAAGAAAGGAACTTCTTAGCGAAAAAATGGGCATGTGTATTTTTAAAATGGGATGCACAAACAGTGAAATTATGTGTACTGAGCAAATTTTGTGTATATTTTATGCAGGACGCACCACGTCAAAATGAATCACTGGCTAAAAAGTTTTTAAAAAAATCCATTTGCAATTTGTCATAAAAATGCTAACTTACCTATATGCCAAAGCCAATTGGAACCTGTTAAATTGCAATGACAAGGATTCAACAAAATATTATCTTATTAATCCAAATGTAGTACATGTATTGAACAAAAATTATAAACCATAACTTTTTGCACATGTAACTCTACATTCAAGGTAAATAATTATGAAAAACCTTTACTAAGGTACTGTCTTCGTTTCAGTTTGTTTCCCTTTCTGAGGGACACGCCGACAGGGTCTAGTGTTCTCATTATTTGCCTCACCACTTCTCTATCAAAAAAGTAAAAATTAATACATTTTTTCCACATTCTCTGTGTACCTGCAACTGTGTGTAACCAAGGAGAAATATTCTTAGTGTTAACTATATAATGATAGTTTAAAAAGTCTACTTTACCTTCGAACATTGCACCCATGGATTGTTTTCAATCTGGAAAACATGTCAGATATACTTCGATCTGGTTTTATTTTCACTTCATTCTGAAAGTAAAAATAACACACAAACACATTATGCATGCATTTTTATTTATATATTCTCTCTCCCTCCACACACAGGCACGTATGTGTGTGTACATTGAATTTACCTTTATAAGATCCAATACTTCAGCAAAATCTGTCAGGTTTCTATTTCCTCTTCTGTAATTTAAATTTAATCTTGGCATTACTTTTCTCTTCAGATATTGGAAACTGGAAGAAAATAGAATTTTAAAGTATTTTATTCCTTTCAGTGAATAAAAAATGTATTTTTATTAAAATTACTTAGCCTTAATTAGCATGTCATTGACATACCAACACACCTTTATTTTAGAAGGTTAGTGGTAGCAGCAGCATTGCACAGTGCATATTCAATACAAAAGCACGAGGAAAGAGATGCAACTACTCTGGTATTTAATATTCAAACATGTAGCATCATTTTTCGAAGTGGAGAAGAAAAAAGGGGGTGGCGGTAGTCTCCTTATATTTTGAATTTGATTTCAATATACAATTCCTTCACTTTCTTTTAAGCTGTTCAAACAATGTTGGAGGAAGGAGGGGGTGGGTAGCTTCTAGCTATAAAATCTAATTTCTATTGAATAAATTTTAAGAAAGGGTTGGTTGATAACTCTGTTCTTTTTATATGTATGCTTGAAGAATGGGTGGGGTTGATGTTGTTTTTGTAGTTATTTAAGAAATTGTTATTTTTCCTTCTTTTTAATCAAATTACATGTAGCTATATATACATGTACACACACATACTTATAGTTTTGACCATGTCTTATTTTCAGTAAAAAGTGAATTTCCTTGTGAGATAAACCTCTTCTGTGGTAACTTCTAATGATGTCTTTTAAATCTACAAAAATATACAACAAGCATTTATTTACTAGTCTGTCATAATGATAATGATCATAAAAATACAATATTTTTATACCAGTGAAACCGGTAGGGTACTAATAAGGTGATTGCTTAATTGGCATCAGCAAATACTTGCAGTGCCCAAGTTACAAAATGAATATTACTTACTTTCATCCATATTTCTGTGTCCTCATTTATGGTGCACATACCAAATTAAACCCTGAAAATATAACCTATACCTCTCACAAAAAGTCAAGCAACAAACTCATTTTTATTCTTTTTAAAGGAAAAATTACTTCTAATTGAAGGTATAGCAACAAAACCATCTATTACAAGTTATTTCTCCCTTAAAAACATACCTATGAGATAGTTGCTTGACTTTTTGTGAGGAGTAGTTTTACACATGCTTTTCAATCAAAACTTTATTGATCAAAGAATTCTTAAAACTCATGTAATACTACATACATCAAATAAGGCAAAATGGCAGAACACCAAGGGTGCGTTTGATGACATACCTCAAATATAATCATTATAAATTTGATCAGAAGTTGTTAGTTCTTTTGTAAAACATTGCTTGGATATTAGCCCAATTCAATATTACAATACTGTGTGCCAATTGTGAATATTACCTCTCAATACCTAAGCAGCTTTCTAAAAAAACTCTTGTAGTTAAATCTAATCTATTTTCTTAATCAACGTTTGTCATAATAATGTAATTCATACACTTTTTAAACACATCATCGTTTCATAGTATCATTCTTTTTTGCTTACATTTAATTTGGCTCAGTTCCATATTCAAATAACTTTTACCATTAACATTGAGCTATGAATAGATTTTGAGAAAATTCTGCGAAAGAACAAATCCGATTTGTATATAAAAAAAATCCCGTCCAGTTTCACCAAAAAAGGGACTTATGAAATAAAATAAGAGTTTTACATTTATTATCTTTTATGCAGTACAAGTACATAACCTCTGACAAACTGAATACATTTCAAGCTCTATTAGTATTTCATATACATGATATATTTGTTTTTTATGAGTCACACACAATATCTGTATTCTGTTATCACTATAAATCTAATCACATATGCAGTAAAATGCTTGTCCATTAGACCAATATATTAATACAATGTCACCATAGCAATGACAAATGATATATTTGATGCATTTAAATTAATAAATGCATTGCAATTGGTTCAGCAAATAAAAAATTACCATAGTCAATTTGAAAATATATGCATAAATAAAGTTTAACAAATTAACTTTGTTATTAATAGAAGATTTAAGATAATCCAAGGAATTCAAATTGAAAGCTATTTTCCAAACAATTTATAAAGTTTAATAACTTTAAACGTGTAAAATGTCTGTCAGCAAAAATTTAAATTTAGCACAAAATTAAACCTTTAATTTGACCTCTTCTTGTATTTGTTTTGCTACCTACACTGTCAAAAAACTTAACTTCAGCCTTTGTATTCCTGTCAATCATTGTTTTTACACACTCTACACCATCCACCCCAAAAAAGACATTACTTCCACTAACATTTGCAACAATGGTATAAATTTTTTCTTTTTTTATCTCTACAACATTTGGAAAAATTACAGGAAAATCAAAAACATCTCCAAGTTCCTCTCGTATTTTTAATTTAACAATACAGTCTTCTGAAAAAAGGGTAATTTCGACACACAATGAACAGTTTTTGACACCAAAGAGAATAACTCCTGATAATCTAACATCTGAGTTTACAGAAAAAGCTAGTCGGTCACCATAAATGGCATCATATTCCCATGTACTATCCGGACTATGGAAAAAAAAACCTATTCACTACACGGTCATTTAAAGAAATACACTTTCTTGGACGATATGTATTGTGATCAATCTCATCTTTCTGTGTAGATAAAGAGGTCATATATAACATGATTTTCAAAGCATAATCACTTTCTATAACATTTTTGTAAACAATATTTTTTATGAAAAAATCAATAGACATTCTTCCAAATCTAATATGAGGAACAAGTGTATTCCAACAAACAGGTTCAGCTCTATTTTCAGATTTCATCCACATAACAACAAATTTGAAGAGTTTTTCTTCATGAATGCACATTGAGTCTCTTTTGATTAAAAGATCTTTATGAAATGTACAAAACAAGTCTGCATTTTCTCTGATAGACATAATGTTTTCTAAATAATTGTCAATAAATGACAATGCAGATGACAAAACATTTTCTATGCTAAATGTAAAAGCCATATTCAGGATGGAAAAAACATTTTCAGATGATATTGAACAGAGCAAAAACTCTTCACACTTCTTTCTTAAATCAGGAACGATGTAGAAATCTGCAATTTGTAGAATGTTCTGTACATTTTCCACTGACAGATCAATATCTGTTTGGTAAAGAAACTTAATCATCGACCGTGTAAGGCCTGCAGAAAAATCACTGCAATTTACTTCATGGTTCCCTTTTCCACTGTTCCAATTTCCATTTAATCGGGTATGAAAGTATTGACAACCAATGACCAACACTAATGAATGTGCACACATGAAAGTTCCATCAGCTAGTGTGATACGTACGTCACAATGTTCTTCATTTTCAAACGCCCTCACAATTTTCTGCCCAAGTTTTGCCATTCTGATAAAATTAGTCAAGTTAACATATCATTTAGTTCCGACTTTTACCCCTTTCCAATTGCAACCACATTGGTTACATTGGTTAATCAACTCTTATGTATTTAAGTCAGGTTACAGTGGTTGCTGGAAACTTAGGTTAAGAAATACATGTAAATATAGGTACTAAGGGTTAAAATTAGGTCAGTGCTGGGAATTGAGTAAATTGGGTTTGGATTAATTAGAGTTTAAGGTTAGTTATGGTTTTGCTTAGTGTTTGGGATTTGGGAGAAGGGTTAGGTTGGGTTTATAATTAGTTAGGATTTGGGGTCAGGGTAAGGGTTGGGATTTAGATTAAGGTTAGTTGGGATTGGGATAAAGGTTAGTTGATTTTGGGATAAAGGTTAAGTTTGGATTGGGATAAAGGTTAATTAGGGTGGAAATAAACGTTAGGGATTACTGTTAGTTAGGATGTGGGTTAGTTAGTGTTTTAGATTAGGGAAAGGGGTTAGGTTGGGAATGTGGTTAATTAAGATTAATTGGTTCATTGGGGCTAGGGTAAGGATTGTAACCAATGTAACCGAATGACACTCTGCAAATCAGTTAAATTACAGCCATTATGTATATTACAAAATAGTTATAATAGAAAATATACTATATGTGTCGCCATTAAATCAGATACAACTAACCCAATCACAGGTACTTGGGTCGTGGTTTATAATATAAATATGTATGAGGGTTCATACATATTTATATTATAAACCACGACCCAAGTACCTGTGAACCCAATGCTACATTTTGTCACAAGAAATAAATAAAGCTGTAACATAAAGCTATAGCCATGGTAACTAAATAAAACAATATTACTGATCTAACACTTGTTTGTCATCTCTGTTACTAGTATTATTGTCAACATGAAAATGAGTTGTATAGATTTAAGTTTTGTAACATGATTAAATAAAGCCATTAAGTAATGTTGGGCCAAATAAAACAAAAATTTAGTCTTACTTCATGTTATCTTATTTATCAGAAAACAGTCTTGTTAATTAATGGTTAAAAATGAAATGGGGTTAAAGTCAGGACTAGCAATGAATTTATTACAGGTAGAGGGCAAAGTCCTTACCAAATGGTCCATGATGGAGAAATTCTCCCTATTTTGACAACTATTTAAACGTCACCAGGTTTATTAAGTATGCCACTTTTAACAAACCAAAGAAATAGATGGGTGGATCTAACTGTGCATGTTTCAAATGAGTAACTCTATATCGAAGAATTACACAAATAATCATTATTATACTTTCATGTTAAATACTAAACTTAAACACACAATACTAATATGTCATAAAATATGAAGTGAAATGTATAATAAATGCATGTTTCTGCATTATCTAAACTGTAAATATTAATCTTGTGAGAATTAATTTTTTTCCGTTCTAATGTCAAAGAAAGCGGCAAAAAGAGGAAAACATGAAATGCATACGGTCTTTCTTTGATTAAACAGATATATTTTTATGCATATTTTTCAAATAATAGCTATATATTCGTGACATACAACAAAAAATAAATAAATCCCTACCTGTATGTGGGTCTCGACCCGTGGCCAAGCAAGCATATGATTATTGCCGCGCTTCTGCATCCTAAAAATTCTTGGCCGATTCTTGATCTTTTGAAATCTTGGGAAATTAGTCTTTGTCTTTTGAAATCTTGGGAAGTGAATCTTGACTGCGTTTGGAAGTAATGTATCTTGGCGCAATGCTATCTTGGCCGAATCTCGGTCCTATAAAATCTTGGGAAGTAAATCTTGACTGCGTTTGGAAGTAATGTATCTTGGCCAATGCAATCTTGGGATAGAAAATCATGGCCTAGTCAAGATGTAAAACATGGGATATATCTTGACTAAGCCAGGGTTGTCAAATCATGACCGGCAAAGATAAGAAGGCCATGTTATGCTATCAAACCAAACCTGACTTGGTCAGAGTTGCAATCATAACATGACCGATTGAATTACTATGAATATATAGAACATGACCGCCCAAGATTGAATTACTATGAATATATAGAACATGACCGCCCAAGATTGAATTACTATGAATATATAGAACATGACCGCCCAAGATTGAATTACTATGAATATATAGAACATGACCGCCCAAGATTGATTTACTATGAATATATAGAACATGACTTGGGAGTCCCGTGTGGCCGATCATGACTTGGCCGGGATTGTAAACATGACCGCCCAAGATTGAATTACTATGAATATATAGAACATGACCGCCCAAGATTGAATTACTATGAATATATAGAACATGACCGCCCAAGATTGAATTACTATGAATATATAGAACATGACCGCCCAAGATTGAATTACTATGAATATATAGAACATGACTTGGGAGTCCCGTGTGGCCGATCATGACTTGGTCGGGATTGTAAACATGACGCCCAAGATTGAATTACTATGAATATATAGAACATGACTTGGGGGTCCCCTGTGGCTTTCCATAAATTACCTATATTGACAACAACTAGATTGTTGCACGAAGCTGGCGAGTGCATTACGATAATAAAGCTATCCTATCAGCAATTATAACTATTGTTCATTTTTTTTTCTCATTCCTCATCCTATCTCCAAGAAAATGGCTGTATTCACAGAACCTAAAATCACTTTACTCTCATCTCTCTTATTTAGATAAATTTTCAGATCCGCAGTTATGTTAAAGGCTTCCCGAAGCTTTAAAATGCGCTCAAAACATATGTCATTGCGAGGTCGGTTTTGGTTTTAATTTATAAGTATTGAACTTAAGTACTCCCAATTTATATAGAGGGTTTCCTCGGCTATATATAAACATATTTGTTATGATATCATATGACTTTGTTGATCACGTGACGGTCATTTATAATTTTTTGAAGTGTTCCATATAAATCGCTTCGGCGCAGCTGATTAACACCATAATTATTAACATTTTGTTGTATAAATCAACTCATCGTATCCTTGTGTATCCGAAATGTGCTTGGGAAAAGTCATAGTATTACTTAGATACAAAATATTTCCTGAGAAATTCAACTTACCTACAAATTTGAGGGTATTTTCCACACAATATCGTAATCTGTATTAAAACAAAGCCAACACACATTTTTTCCAAGCAAGATTCAGTTAGAGAACAACCTCTTCTTACAGATTTCCACAAAAATTCTCAGATTAATCTTCATTAATCACCTGCTCCTCTTTTATACACACAAAATAAATTCTACCTCCAACCACGGGTATAAAACAGAGTACGTTTCAAAAGTATATTTTACATAAGCATTTTGAACATGCTGAATTTCAATCAAGGGTAGGTAAGCCGTGTATTTTTAAAATATTCGGACATATAAGACTTAAAAAAACCTTTAACGACCCGTGAAGTTTGCAATAGCTATCTAGCACTTTACATACAGTTTGAAATAAAGTGTAAAGTTCATGACACTCTCCCCGTCATAACACCTCAAGGTGCTGACTACCATAAAGGAGTCTACTACAGGCGAAGGAATAACCTGGACGGCGGTTGGGTGTGATGGACTCCCTTATCTCATTGCCAGTAGAGTCAACAGGGAACACCCAGAACTCCAAGTTATACTTCTGCAGCCAGGTCTAGGTCACCTTGAAATGAACATGACGAAAGGTATATTACAATAAAAGGATACATTTATAAATGAAAAACATTTTGTATTACAATGCAACATTTTATTTATTATATATACATACCATATTACTTGGAAAATCTAAGGTGAAGTCATAATTCATTCAGCATTATTTATTGCTACAATCTTGTCATCCACTAAATATAAATTTTACACATATGTTTTGGTCTTTAAACAATTTCAACCATTATAATTATAGCCATAATTAGCTGACCTGGAACGTTTTTGAGGAGGACCTAGCAAAGATGCTGGGCTACAGAACGCCAAAAGCTTTGCAAGCTTGTATGGATGGCAATGACCATCAAAAAGCATTCCAATTTTGAGAGATATGCTTTTTGGCACAGGTACTTATACGCATTTAAGTAAGGTGTTTATAAATTATGAAAAACTTTCAACCGTACAATTTATTATAAATTATTTTTTCCATTCCTTACTTTCCTTTTCTCTCAAATAAAGGAGATGAACTACTACTTCCCTATGTCAGACATGGTGTGAGCACTGACGAAACACCGTCAGCACAAGGATATTTTCAGTGGTATACTGTATTATATTGACAGATTCCTTCAGGAGGTCATTTTCACTTACACACTCTCTGTATACTTGTTTCGTGCTGCTGTTCGGAGGAACAATTCAGATGTCATCATGGCTGCAAGGTAAAATTTGCACCTCTAATAAATACAACTATCAACAAATAGAAATTTTGGACTCATTAATGAGAGTGTGTGCACTATCTGAAGTGTCCAAATTTATTAATAACAATGAGTCTCTCACCGCAAGTGTACCAAAGTTTGTCTTATCTACAAGACATGTTACAATGAAATGTCATAAGAAAACGAAAGAAATATATAAAACAAATATTTAACAATTTTTTTTTAGAATCAGGACATCCTAGTAAAGGTGAAGGATGTGATTTTATCCTTGAAACAAGACATAAAATGTCTAAGAAATCGTTACCTCCAGGCGCGCCCAAAGAGGAGCGCTGGAATCAAGGTTGTCGAAATCTTGACAAACTAGAAAAGGTTTAAATACATTATATAACTTGCACTTTTGAATTTTTATTGCACCATTTCAAATAATTAACAAGTATTAAACTACATATGAGCAGGTCACAAGAATATAACTTTTTTTAAGATGAGATTTGTTCGGGAATAGAAAGCCCTCACATCTATCGTGGACCCAGTATTGGCATCGGCGGGACTTGTGGTCGCAGCCGAGCCAATACCCCTTTTCTCCTCCGAAAGAAATACATTGCATAGTTTAGTCAATCCTGTTACGAAGGATGAAGTCTATAAGTAATCATACTGTGGCATGCAGAAAATTTTACCTCCTCAAAGAAGGGTGTGCATCAGTGAGTCATTTTCCCAGATGGTGCTTTTATCACATGATTATAACTACGTCACATTTTGTGGTTGCATATAACTCCCTTGCCTAAACTTCAAGATTTAATAAAGTTGTTTCCTCTTCTATGTTTACAACATACAATATAGTAAAATTATATATTCATTTCCTATGCAACTCAGTTTATAAAACATATATATGTATCTACACACTAAGATAATAAGACAAATAAAATATATTTACAGATTAGGAAAAATCTCTATAAGATATTCAGCATTGAGGATGATGATGAAGAGACATTAGATCATACTAATCTAGACAAGGAAATTAAAAATAACTGCGCAGCACTGTTAAGGCGTACTTTGAAGAAATCAACAGAATATAAACGTGCATAAATACATACCTTTTTAAAATGAATTTTAATTTTTAAAGGTACTATATTATCTTATGACTTTAACATTCTTTGAAATAACATTGTATACCCCGCTCTGCACTGAATTTGGTTTGGTCACGTTATTTGATAGTCACGTGATAAATGCATGTAATGCGTACAGTATGTAGGTCACAAACAAATTTCAATATCGCAAGGGCATACTCTAGTTAAAATTAAAAATTAAAGTAATAGATTGTTTCTACATAACTTGTAGTTTATGGAAAGTGCTGCTGCTTTAAATAGAATTCGCATTTTATTAGTTTAAATTTCAGGTTATCTTGCTAATGTCGAAATATGTGTGACCTTTACCAAGTATTTTATGTATTTATAAAATTATGCTATCGATTTCAGGAAAGCAGCAGCACTTTTCAAGTTAAGGAATATGTCAATTATGTGTATTCAAAACATGGTCAAGATCTATTAAGTGTATGCCCTTGCGAAAAGGGATTTAATGAGGCACCTCGGCGTGAAACATGCACACCTTGTAGACAAAAACACGGTAGAATTAATTCAATACATTCTCTCGATATTTTTTAAAAATTGGCACTAAACAAACGTTTCAGATTTGTGATAATGGTCCAACTAAGAATTTCAAATAATATTCTGTTTAATAATAAAATGCATTTTTCACTGTGAAAAATTAATTGATCCGCCTCTCACTGCACATAAAATGCGTCAAACTTTACCATGATGACGTCATGTCGACAAGTGCATTGCGATCAGTGACTTGTTTATATCTTGCTGTGTGGGATTTAACTAGCGACAAAAATGAATGCAGTGGTAAGTTTTGATGTAGTTCATTACTCTTATGCAGTTTAGATTCGCAAATTATTTCATTTTCCGTTATTGTGAGGAATTGCTATATTTGTGTGATGTCACAGTAAACTTTTCCCGTATAAATTAGGCCCCACCACCTCTATGCAGCCTTAACAGAGCTGCGTGGAGGATCCAGATTAGAGATTCCGAGTTTTTCTTGACCCCTTTCCAAATCAAACCCCCCATCAAATTTATCAGGAAAAATCTAGACCTTGAAGCAGCCAACTTTTCTAGCGAATGCAAAAACAATATGATAATGTTTCTGAAAGAATGTTGTAAATGTACTTTCGTGCAACTGTGCAAATTATTGGAGCCAATTTTTCATTTTATCTGAAGAAATTATAACATGGAGAAAAAGACATCTGAAATCTCCAATGCCATACAGACTGAGATACAGAAATTGAAGGAGATGGATTTTGACATGGGTATGCACTATCCAATGTATGAATATATTTATTTTAAGCATAACGTGCCTTTAAATTAAATCAATTAAAGAATAAATACAATGAAGATATATTTTTGTATTTCAAAAACACTTTTAGGTATAATCTTTCCGAGTTCCTTCGAATTCTTTAAGTGATGAAAAGGCGAAGGAGTGGTCAAAAATCGGAACTGAGGAAAAAAGCAATGTTAATCAAGTTCTACAAAGAATTGATACAGCTGGTAGAGGAACTTGGAGATCGCGAGGAAGAGGAAGAAGAGGGTGTGTTCCTTTATGTGTATATATTCTTTTACTGTAGTAAACATTTGATTTATGATTATGAATTCAGTGTTTTGAAATACCTTCTTGAACAATGTGTTTTTTCTCTGGTACTGTGCCTGGACTCTTTTCGCCGTGTCCTCTTGGTATTGGTCCTGACGATGCACTACGTACTTTCCCCCTTTTATGTTGTCCTTTGCTATTCTTGTCAGGATTATAAGTTTTGGTTTTGAAATTGAACCTCGTAGGTGAGTTAAGGCCAGGTATAGGCATTTCTATGCAAATAAAGTAATTAAAATGCTTAAGGAATATTTTTATTATACAGAGAAAATTAAAACTTGTCTAATACATACTTGGTACCCATGACATGAGATAGCCAGTACACATTATGGCGTCATACTATGACGTAATTGTTCTTTACTACACAAGATTATAATGGACATCA